TTGAAACAACAGAATTTTGGGTTTTATGATTCCTCAGACATGACCCCAATTGGAATAAATAATTTAAATTAAATTTAATGCAATTAAATTTGAAAACATTATTTTTGGTTTTTATTTATCTTTAGAAGATGAACTTTTTTGGATTCGGACACAATTAGTTGGATTTCTGGGGTAAAGCCAAGTATCTCAAAAATAAACTTCGTAAGTCATTTAATTCTCAATTAAATGTTGTTATTAATAAAGCAAATTACTACTGTTCGTTTCACCATTAGAGTCTATATCAGAAAATTTAATTGAAGGGGATTTCCAATGGCGATTCATTGTTCCAGTAATATATTCACCATTGACATACATGTGATTTCGGTATAAATTAATCATATTGCACCAAGTTATATAATTTTCCATCAATTTAAAATTAATAGATTTCAGCTTCCGTTCTCATGCTAATTATTATTATAAAAACAACAAACATTTTAAATTGTATTTACTCAATTGAATATTTATCACTTGCACGAATTGAAATTTTGTTTTGATTCGATCAATTTATTTAGATTTATAGGTCTGAGAGCCAAAGAAAATATTTTGCGGCAAAAGTTTACTTAAAAATTAATAATCACATAGAGATTATCCAATTCAAGAAATGTGTCTGCGATTGGTTTTCGCGTGTTTGTAAATATTTCAATATTTGGCTTTCGACCAGTGTGTTATTTCTGTATTGCCAAGTTTTGAAAATAAACAAAAAAAGGGCGCCCTGAAAATATATTCCGCCCTCTTGACAGTGCAATGCATCGGTGTATTTTTTAAATTATCCCAGAGAGACCTGCCAGTTTGACACATTGCTCTGGCTCTTCGTGGATTCGCATGCAAATTTGCGTGCAACTGCGAATGCAACTGCAGCCGAGTGGCCAACTGAATGTCATCCTCGCGTACTTGTGTGCCCAAAAATGATGCAATTATAAATTCATGTGCTGCAGGGGAGAGAAAAAGAGGCAAAGGATGGGTGTACCATATAGTACATACGAATACGCACGATGAATGGCATTCCAAACGGTGGCACTGCTGCCAAAAAACCAAAAAGCAAAGCGAGCGGTCATTAGTGCGGACACGAAGCCAGCCCCTCAATGGGAATCTGAATGGGAACGCGAATGGGAGTGGAAAAGCCAGCAACTGCAATTGAGCCAACAATGCAAGGTGCATCAAAAAAGAGGTATAGTTATCTGAACCGAAGCCTTGAATACCCTTCCACTTTTGATCATCCCTCAGGAAATGTTCGATTAACGTAATCCTGGCTATCTTATCAAGATTCCATGGTTTAAATAAATTATTTGTTAAAAAAAACGATTTTGTAAAAATTGTACAACATTTATAGGAATTTCTTACAAGTAACCATTACAGAAATAACAAGGGTTTAAATGACTTCAGAAGCTGCTCTTAAAGCATTTTATATAATTTTTAGTAGTTTCAATTTAAAATTGTTTATAGAATTTCAAAACATTTGAAAAAACATTTTAAATGCAACATTAAAAAATCTATAGATAGCCTTTGGAAAATCGTTTTTCCGTCGTGCAAATTTTAACCAAAAATAATAGCCCCGAGGGTAGAGTACGAAAAGTAAAAATGAACTTCGAGTACTGTGCGCGGCTGTTCCTCAACTTAATTAATACATCGCCCATCGCCCTGCGTTGCGATGCGCAGCTGCCAGTGAAAAACTATTTCGATTTGTTTTGATTGCCGCTGCTGTTTCGGTTCCTGACTTGCTTTTGTTGCGCCACATCGCCCTATAAAAAGCAGGCAGGCCAAACCAATAGAAAAGAACAACGCCAAATGGAAGCAACCGTTTACAATTGACGTCACGGCGCAAATCAGGAGCATTGTATTGAAAACCTAGCTGAGCATAAAAGTGAAAAATCAGTGCAGCATACGATATGAATTTCAAATTGAGAACGGAACGTTGTAAACATCGTATAAACTATACCCGGAACACTCAGCAGATGGACAAGAATGTGTGCTACTTCCCCGAACTGACCCACAAAATGTGTCAGAAAACTGAATAAATGTGTGTGAGGAGACCCTTAACTTGTCAAAGGTAGGAACTCAATCGGAAGGAGCCAACTTTCATTTCGGGTCAGGAAAAGGGTCCAGTCTCAAAATTAATGTATTCAGTGGCGAAATAAATGCAAGGTTCAATTTGCCATAATTTAAACACAACATTTTTTATTTATTTGTTTGTTCAAAAGACACAACTGGAAATAATTTTATTTTAACTTTATTGAATTCAGAGTGGCAATACATTTTTGCTTGAATTTATGTCATTTTTATTGAGCATTTACATTTCTGTGCTTTCATGAACAATCATTTTATGTCCAATTTAAAAAGTTGCCTTTAAATATGAATGTGATATTATTGAAATTTTATTGCTTTTTTGCAATGTTTTTATAGCCCAGCAGATGTTAATAACGTCGTGATTGAGACAACATGACATTTATTTAATATCTGAATAATTTCTTTGTTTAAAAACGATTTTAAGTCCCAAATGCGCCATATTATAATTAAAAGATAAGTAAGCCTGAGATCTAATAAACTATTTTTCCCTAAAATATTCATTACACTTAAAGTCTATTTTAAGTTCAAATAGTGATGTGTTTCCTTAACAATTTTATGTTAGAACGAATAAAGAAAGTACTGTGTTTAAACTTTGAAATTATGTTGACTGAACCCTTTAAAAGCCGGAACTTCTAGCCACCCACACTTTGGTGTATAAAATCAAACACTTGCTATTCTGTCTGAGCATTATCCCGCTAGTAGTTGCCCCCTTTCAAATCGCGTGCACAAATTCACATTTCTCTCAAAGGCTGTGTGTAAACAACACCTCGGGCTATGGAAGAAAACAACCATTTCAACTATAACTTGGTGTGAGTGGCGGCAAAGCTGTCAACAGTCGTCGCGTCATCACTTGAGCTGCATTGTTGTACAAGTATTTGTCGCACAGGCAACGCGTCGTATGAGTAATGTGGGACTGGGCGTGGGAGTGGGAGTAAGGCAAACCGGGTGGGATTTCCCCGGCAGGCGAGTCTATGCAGTCGAGTGGCGTTCTTTGCATGCTCATTTGTGTCCCTTTCAATTGTCATTCGGGCTGCTGTTGATGTTTTCGTTGCTGGCGTTTGTCGAAGAAGTGCGCCAGACACTTTGTCTACAAGTCGTGCGAGTTGTAAGAGGTATGGAAATGTGGCTCCCCCTAAACTTGAGAATAAATTTAAGGCAACACGACGATGACCCCAATAGCCGTTGCAATAGCAGGTAATAAACGAACTGGCGATGAGCATGCAGGAAGCCGAATGTTGTAAACACGCAACACTCAAACTCGAACTTCTGCTTGTATCTAGGTGGATACATAAACACATGAGCTTAGACGAGCATTTAAATAGTGTATACATGGAGAGAAAATAGTTTTAACTTGCAATTTTTGAAATGAAGATCGTCCAAAATAATTGATCTGTAATTCAAATTCTTGTTTATTTAATTTTTTTCGGAAAAGCCTTTGCGTACATCAATATAATTTAAACTTTCGCTTTTAAAAGTATTCAAATCAAAAGAATAATAATTTATGATGTTACTTTACTAGTTAAAAGATTGTGTATTCCTCCTTAGAGCGTACGCAAAAGAATACTAAGTTAGACTGTTTTAAGATAATTAATTTATCTATATTTAATTATTTACTACATTGAATTTTTTTTAATTTTTGAAAAATTTATGTTTTTTTAAGACTTTATTACTTAAATAAATTGTTAATTACTACATAAATATTTTTTAGCAAAAATTGTATTGTTCTTAATGTCGTGCAATGATTTTTCCCACAGTGTGTTTTGGCAGGGTTCATGCCTTTAGGCACCCTTGTAAACGATGTGGGTGGCTGGCTTTGCACTGAGATAAATCGCATGCAATAACATAGCCTGCATGCCGTTTGTTTGGTCAATATTTATTTGGGCATTAAGCAGAACACACACATACACAAACACAGACAATCGGCATTAAAGCAAATTAAATCGAATCAGTCGAAATGCAATTGCACACAGATGAAAGACGATTGCCATCGGAGCTAAATGGAATTTTCCGGTCCGTGAAAAAAGCGAAAAATCGAAATACAATTAGGCAAAGCACTAGAATGGGTACATAAAAGCGAACCGAACCTAATGCGCGACAGTTGTGAGTTCCTTGGGCGGGTTTCTTCACTGGGATGCTGGCACTGCCACTCGGTATCCCTTTATTTCGCCGGCTTGTTCGATTTCCTCACTTTACGCGGCCAGCATGCGGTCAAATTGCACCGATATGTGTCTGCGTTGAATACAATTTTGTTTAAACAAATCCTTTTGGAGATTTTATGGAGAAAAAAAAGAAGGAAACTTTGTTGAAACAACAACCGCGGGCAGGTCGTGAAAAACGCGACTGAAATAATTGTTATGCTGCGTGTGAAATTTTGCTCTTGTCTTTGCAGCCGGCGCCGGCGTCGTTGTCTGGCCAATGTTTCCTAACAACAAAATAGGGGGAAAGCTCTCAGCTGATGAGAGTTTTCCATGGTTGGCATGCTCATGTATAAATGGCGCGCACTGTAGCCGGCTCTCTCAGCTGCGCTCTCTCTTGGTCAAAAGGTGCGCTGAAAATACTGGGAAATGCATGCGGCTTCCTTTGGGGTACGTTAAGTATACGCGGCGTGTCCGCTCACTGCATTATCAGCTGCCAGCAAAAGGCAACGGACTCACGTGGATCCTCCATTCACAGAAACTCGCCAGCAAATATATTTACCTTCGATACTTACCCAGTCACAACTATTTTCTTTTGCACCTGTTGACTGGTTGGCTTCCCATCACCTATTTGCACTTTTAAAAAACTCTTTCTTTGTTATTTTAAAGTTTTCGCACATTTATTTCGAGCTTTGCTTGGATTTTAACATTACCACCACAACAAAAACATAAGTACTTGTCAAACAATTACTGAGTTAAACTAATTTAAATACAAGCTGCTTGAGTAAAACACACACAATGCACACAGAAAATTGCTGTCAAAGTGCATTTTAAATATGCTAATTAAATGGTTTTCTCCCGCTTTCTCATTGTTTTTCGCTTCCACTTGTTTTGGTATTTTTCTGCATTTTCATTTTGAGCACAGTTACAAACAGCAGTGTCCATTGTTCGTTCACGTAGTGAAGGAAATATATAGGTTTGTCGCAACAATGGCTTAAATTTGTGTTCTAGTAATTAAAACGCTGGCCGAGACTTATTCATCTGGCGTTACCATTGTTCTCTGGCCCATTGTGGCAAGACATCCTGTCCCCGATATACATGTACATATATAAAATGATACGGCTAAGTATCAAGAGTATAAATTCGATATATATTTGGCTTAGTTACAATTCTTCGCTTTTTTGTATTATCCTTACAGGTACAAGTACTCGATGACTTTATCAAAGTCATTTGCTTATTTAGGTTTAAGAGTAGACATTGTATACAATCTATAATATCTATACACAGAACCACCGGATTAGACATTGAGACATGAACGCAATTAATTTAATTTATTGAGACCTACACAATTGAAATCCAAGCAGTCCGCAATCTGTTTTTGATTGTGTTATACCCAATATTATACTACAATGCACACATTCTGTAAATCCGCTTGTACCCACGGCGGAAACTTGATTCTGAGTGACTTTCCCTGAAATTCTGCGTAATTTTCCTATCGAATTACCATGCCCACCCCATTCTTTGTACTTAACTCAACCTTTCTCCTTTGCCCCCCAAAATATGCCTCCCCTTCATACGCTGTCATAAATACATATATCGACTAGGTTGTCCATTCTGTTTTTCGTCCTGTCTGCTCCTTACTGTCCCTGTCTAATCATCACATAAGCTCATTAAATATGTTTACTATCACCAGTGTGGTTGCCACTGTCGTTGTTTCTTGTCCCTCGGCCACTGCTCGTCGGAATTCCCTGCTTCATTTCTATTTATTATTTTCATTTCAATTGTAGGTCCATCAATGACATTGCATGAAGCCCACTGAATAGTGCCATTGCTGTCCATTGTTGGAGAGTGAAATTACTTTGCGTATGTCCTGCCGCCTGATTTCAGTTGTGCCTATTATTTCCACATACAACTCAGTTAAATTAGTCCAACAATGAAGCCTCCACGGCTTTGGAAAATGACTTGATATATTTCAACTCATGATTAGGCATCTCAATCAGACTAAATAGTTTGATGTAAAGCACACAAAATATTACAGTAATAAAAGAAAACGTATTCAAAAAGGGAATTAATCATAAATTGAGTATAGTTTCAGCCAGTTATTTAAAGACAAAGGGGTTAAAACAATATACTGAAACATAGACACAGAAACATAAAGTTCTGTATCTTTACGATCTTTCAAAACAAATTATAAGCAATGTTAACAAGTGGTTTTATGTTATTTCGGTCTCTACAATACAGTGTTTGAATGGATGCTCGCATTGTTTTTTTTTGGCAGATTAGGTTATATTGTAGTGCCGCTTCAGAACTTACTCTGTTCCATGACACTGCTCACCGAATTGTTGATCTCGGCCACCACGATGATCTCCTCGTTCTCCTCCGTCTCCTCGGGCACCATCATGAGGTTGTTGTTCATCAGGTAGCCCTCCAGTCGATGATCCCCCATTCCTGTGTCGCCGGTGTTGCTGCTGCGCAATCGGTGAGTGAACGAGGATCGGGATCGGGTCATGTACGAAGACCTGGTGGTGGAGACCCTCCTCAGGACCCCGCGACCGTAGAAGAGCATGCGCACCTCGACACGAAACCGCGGGTGAGTGGCCGCATACAGGTAGGGATCCACGCAGGCAGCTGTCTTGCAGAAGAGGGCCGGAATCATCGATCCCAGGGGCGTGATGTGCCGCTCCAGGCCAAAGACCCCCATCATGGCCACCACGGCGTATGGGGACCAAGCCAAGAACCATAATCCAATTATGGCCGCCACAATAAACGCCAACTTCTGTTCCGTTTTGGCCTTGTCCTTGTTCGACTGAATCCTGCTGGCTGTGAAGACCACTTTCAGGATGTAGAAGTACGAGTACACAATGGCGGTCAGCGGAATGCAGTAGGCCGCCACAAAGAACAAGGCCATAAAGATGCGGGCGGGGGTCTCTTTGTTCAGGTAGTCGAAGCTGCAGGTGGTCAGAAATCCCTCAGGCACATATACAGAAAGGCCAATGTCCAGGGCCGGCATCACTGCGAACAGAAAGCTATAGCACCAGATTAGCAGGATAATCAGGTAGGAGCGCAGGCGGGAGCAACGTCTCAGCGGCTGCAGCGGGTGCACCACTACATTGTACCGGTCCAGAGCGATGGCCGTGAGCGTTCCGATGGCACAGGTGCCACTTAGACCGCCCACAAATCCGTAGATGCGACAGGCTGTGGAAGGAAAATAATGAGTTTTTTTTTTTTTTTTTTTTGAATTATGCAAGCCAAAGCCCAGAAAAAACCTTCAGGAACTTTTTGAGAGCTGAAGTTTCTCGGTTTCGTATCATACAAAATATTGCGCTCCTTTATTCGAATAACTAGAGTTCCACAAATTGAGCCTACAGAAAAATCTATGACTTAGATTTTAGTTTTGCTTTGTAAACTAAATTATAAATGTCATCGAGCTTAAATCGGTTAAGCAACAAAAATATAGTTTAAGACTTTTTGAGAATCGATTTTCTTTAAGAAATATCTATATAAATATTTATGAAACACTTGAGGCACTTTTACCGGGAAATACCATTAAAAAGGGAGAAAACTGTCAGATAAAGAAATAATTGACAGCATTGATTGGCTTGCTAAAATAATTCAAGGGTTCTTGGACTCTATACACTGGTAAAAAAACATAGTTAAGTCAAATATTTTTTACTTAATTTTAAAAATTTTCGCTTTGATTTTTTTTATTGCTCTTTATGGTTATTTTAAATAAACATTTTTCAAAGTTTTTAATTTAAATATTTACGGATTTGATTTAAAAAATCTGAAAGTTTATTTTCCATTTAACATTGTATCTTAAAGAAAATGCACTTAAATTAAATATGTTTCTAATGTTAATCTAATATTTTCTAAATTATTAAAGTATTTTTACAAGAAATCAATCAAATAAATATACACTATATTTAATATTTAATCTAAATATTATTAATAAAATGTTTGTTTTTTCCTCTTCAATGTTTCTATCAGTGTAGAAACTGTTTATAAATTCTTAGAGCTTTTGGAGGGATGGCCCAATGTTTTTTTATTTTCTACTCTACTCACTTACCAACATCACCCAATGCCGGTCCCTCCTTGATGTTGTTGTATATGGCAATCGGACACTTGACGAGCATCAGGAAATCGCAGATGGCCAGGTTCATCACCAGAATATTGGCCGGAGTTCGCAGCGATTTGCGGTTGGCGAACATGAAGATGACAAAGGCATTGCCCACACATCCGACCACCGAAATGACGAAGTATAGGGCGGCCATCACGAGAAATGTACTGGATTTAGGCGGTTCGAACTGCAGCCAAAAAGGATTAACTTTCGCTATGTAGCTCAGATCGTATTTGTCCCGGTAGTGGATGTAGCTGGGGTATGAACTGTAATTGCTGAATGTTTGGAAGAAACATTATTGAGCTGCGAGTTTTATACGGTGAGTATACTTAATTATGTAAAATAATATTTGGCAGAATTTAGATTTTAAAAGAAATTGTAGTTTGTTTATTGCTTACACTTTATCTTAAAGTGTTCCAATATCGAAAGTATTTACATGTTTTAATATTCATAGCTAATCAACTGAGAAACAAACCATGAGAGGGTTTTCACTAATAAGTTTGCATTAGAAGATTATTCCCTTCTTTGCTGTTAATCTAAAAGAGTTCTAATATGAAAAGTATTTACATTCTTAAATATTGATAGTTTAACAACCAATCAAGATAAGGTTTACAGTAAGAAGTTTGCATTAGTAGATTAATCCCTTTTCTGCACCTATTCCATCTAAGTGCTATTCAATGCAATTTCTTAGAATAACAGCATTCGCCCTAGAAAATTATGTAGAGCTTTTCACAATGGCTTCTTTAGTTAGTCATGAGCATGAAAATGTGCTTCATAAGTGAAATTGGGTATGCAAATTGGGAAATTTATGTCCCTTTAGAATATTATATAAAAATTTTGACATTTTGAGAAGCGATTTACAAGCTGAAATTTTATATTCTAAGTAATTTAAAAAATTGTAAATGAATGCTTGCTCTCAGAAAAGTAATTGATAGTTCCACAAATATTTATATAATTAAAAGCAAGCTTCAAGTATCTATTAGCAAATTGTCCCTACCTAAATATAAGTACTCTGATTATTCTCCACTTTGCAAGTGATACGTACTTAAATGTTATTCAATGCATGCGGGCCCTAGAAAATTAAGCCAAGCTTATCGCGATGACTTGTTGAGCTTGTCGTGAGCATGAGCATATGCGTTATTCGTGGATGTGGGTAAGGATACCCCTCACCTCAGAGCTGTGGAGACGCTGTCATTCACGTGCTTGTCATGGTCATGGTCCTTGCCCACATTCACCGCCGAGGATGCCGCCGAGGGATTGCCTGCCGCCGAGGAAGTGCTGCCGGTTGGGCCGTGGCTCGAGTTGGCCAAGATCGTAGAAAGCGAGAGGGCTCCGGTTAGCCAAAAGCTGCTCTCAGCCGCATCCGTTGTCAGTGTGGGCAGGGTCGTCATGATGATGGCCTCCATGTCTGGTTGGCCTCACCCCGCAAACACGAAAACCCGAAACCCCGCGAATTTACGAGCTTCTCCAAACAGGATCCGGAACGTGCCCGCAAAGGTGGACGCGAAAGTGGCGCTTATTTTCTTGCCAGCGCCTCAACTGCCGCATTTGGCAAGGATGTCGTGTGTCGCCGCCACGGGGATGCCTTCGGTGGTGCGGTCGGTGGTTTGGCGGCAATGCGGTTGCAGCGGTCACGAACCATTTTCCGTTTGCTAAACGCCAATGGGGTTAGCTGCAATTAGCTATCCGCCGGTGACCCTAAAAGTGGAACAAATAATAAAAGAGTTGGCTTAATCGAGGCTCTTATTTAATTAACTGCATCGGTATAGCAATTTCAATCGCATCTTAAAGGTTAAGGTTTTGTCTTTAAACTCGCATTTTTGTGTTTCCCTGGAATAGTATAATTCGTTCCCAACTTATATTATATTAAAAATCATTACAAAAGTTGGTAATGGCAAGCGCCATCAAAAGGGTGGCAATTTTTTTTTGGAATGCCGAGAATTCAGTACTTATTTGAAGCAGCGTGAAATTTATGAACTCGAGCTTACCTTTTTTTTGCAGGCCATCGGGCGAAATACGGCAGGTGGGCTTCGAACGAGGAAGTTGTTAAAAGCAGCAGGAAACCAATAACATTGTGTTAACTGTTCAGCTGCAGTTTAACACAATGCCGAACTTAATATTTCCTCTGCTCTATACTGATTACGAAAGTTTTTAATGTATTTTGCCAACCCAACTGAGCTACACCGCAACTTGAACTTAATTCAATTGCTCTTAAATGCTCCAAAGTGCGGGCCACAAGTTGTGTTCGAACCCTTTGTAAAGCTTAAGTATTCAAATGCACCTTGAATTAAGCTGTAATTACTATGTTTACCCTGGAATGGGGTGAAGTAGATTCAGACTTCATTCCTTGTATAAAATTACTATGCAAAGTAGTCATGCTTTTTACTTAATTACTTTAAAAATACATGTAAAATTGGGACACGAATCAAAATAAATTATTTTTTAACACCCCCCGAAATTTCTATTTAGCCTTCATTTCTTGTTTGATTTTATTTTGCCCACGTAAACTGCTAGCAACTGAAACCAAAACCGAAACCGAAACCAAATCTAGTTTCGGAAACGCATGCCGATTGTTTTCGGACGTGCCAAATTAATTAACATCTAGTTTGGGAAGGATGTTCGGTGTGATTTCTTATTATGTAAATCTCTGAGTTAATGTATTTAATTAGGCAACTTAATTGCTTATTAAATAACTTGCAGGCGGCCACGTGATCCCGGCAGGCTTTCAGAATTTGAGGTCTTGCCTCAAGTGCTTCTCAACTGAAACTTAAACACGAACTTCTGCGAAAGGAACCCAAGCATAAACAGCACTTGGCCAAAGACAAATTCTGAGCCGGAAACTTTTGCCAGCAGCAACAACTGCAGCAGCTGCACAGGAACAACTATTTAAGTGACCTATGTCCCAGGAGTTGCCGCTCAAGCGTTTGCTTATTATATTTACAACAGCAACTGGTGAAGAGCAAAACAGAGTCGACGACTCTGCCTTTTGTGTTATATCCGCTGGCAAATATATAGTTCCGCTTTGAAAATAGCACACTTTTCCATTTAAGTATCACTAATTGGCCCATTGAAATTTGTCTTCGCCTTTGGAGCTTCCACAGAGGGTACAGGGTTTTGTTTTGATACTTGCTCCGACTGAATGCGAACTAAATTTTGTTGAATATCGAATGCGTTTCCATAGGAGGCAAGCTGTGGCATTGGCAATTAATCATTCCAAAATGATGTGGAAGTAGGTTCCTTTCCGGTAATATTTTCCTGCTTGTTAGCAATCAAAAGGCTTTCACAGTTGTGTCAGTTAAATTGAGAAGTGCGCATGCTGTTTTTGAATGCTCGTTAAAATGGCCGAGTCTCAGACTTTTAAAGGTGATATCCGGAAATCAACATTTAAATTTTAACAAACGAATCTGATTTTATAAAAAAGTTCTTAGTAGTTTAATATTCAAGCTAATATTGGGTTTGCCGGTTTTTGTTTTTGATTTTACCTTTAATTAATACTTTTAATACTTTAATAAGAGGTCTTCAAACATACTTTAAATAAAATTTAAATTTAATCAAATAATATAGTTTTTGCTGTAAATGTTGTATGTCATATAAAAAACTTTAATTATATGTTACATTTTGTATGACTTTCAGAATTCACTTTGTTCCTTTACATGAAAATTGCTTTTGGCCATTTCAGACTCAATCATGTGCATTTCAATGAAGTTTTACTCACAGCATCTTAAATTATACAATGGATTGATTGAGGTTCAGGGTAATTGAACAAAACCTGTTGAATGTCATGTTTTACATACGCCTGTTTACCCATGTCAAGCGATTTAAATTGCTGGACTTGAAACTGACAGTTCCAAATTTAAAATACAATTTGGGTGAAACAAATTTCTCTATGTATGCATAAAGCGTACACAAAAACAAAAACGTCTTCAATGGAGGCTTCTTAGAACCCGATTAGCCAATTGAGGGGCATTCAGGACGATCAAAGGACCCAACTAAGCAGAGAGCTGTTAAGAAGCCTGTCGTCCCTCTAGAAAAAGTGCAAGTGGGCGTGACATGTTTGGGCCCATTCGACTTTCATTCGATTAGGCCAGGTTCTTAACGGCCAGGGCCATACTTTTGCAAATTATCCACTACTATCAGCCGCTTTGGTAATGCAAGGCCATCCCAGTGAGCACTAAACAAAAGCGGAACCATCACTTAGGCGCAGATTTTTTAGTTGGCGGATATGCGCATTTTGGCTGAATGCAAAAACGATTCGCTGGCAAATGCATTTAGTCTTTTAGTTCTCCGCCACAATTTCATCCGCTCTCGAAATTTAATTACGAGTGGAAATGGCTTAAAGTGTTCAGTGCTGTTTTGTTCAGTTCAGTTCGGTTCTGTTCATCCTGCGGCAACTGGAACCGCGGTATGATTACGCGGAAGCATTTATCCAGCCACTTGCTAAAAAAGCGCGAAATTGCTGACAACGGTCGCAAGAGAGCAAGAAAATAATTTATTTTAATTAAGCTTTAATTTTTGCTGGTTTGATCGTTGCTCGATTGCACAAAAAGCTGTCACAATAATTGCATTGCAATTGTTGGGAGTTAAAGGTGCTGAGTGCTTTTGCTAACGCAAAAAAGTGGTGAAAGTAAACCTTAATATTTTATTTTTTTTACAGATATACTGCCGATCCTTTGACATTAAATTGCAGATAGCTTTAATTGCTTGAAATACAATCCTCAATTATAATTATTTTTGCAAAAAGTTATCTTTGAACTAAGGGAAGGTATAAATTTGTTCGCATAGACAAGAACTTCCCAATTTAAAGGGGCACACAGTCACGAAATCACGTTTATCCATAAGCAATTTAAGTCACATTTTTTTAAATCAAATTTTTGCCACGCAAGCAAGCACATGTTTTTGGATAGGACGTGTAATGTGCCACCACTTCTGCCATGCATCCTTTGTTCAATCGGGTAACACCAGCTGAAAGGACACGTTTCAAAGCTGATTCATAAACATGAAAACTAGGCGATATCCAAGCTTTAAGAGAAGGTAAATCTGAGTCGTGGACAATTTGTATTTTCGCTTTGGGAACCCATGACCCCCTGGGTATATTGATTTATGCTCGCGCAAGTTTTCATTTCACAATTTTCACTTATGTATGGCAGTTTATTGCAGTCCTCATCTGTACTCAGCCTTTTCCCCCAGCCCCAGCCTCAGCCTTTTCCCGAATCCCCTTGTCCCATCCACTACACGTGCTCTGGCTGGTCTGGTTTTTCCGCCAAATGTATGGAAAGCTTGGGACCCAAGGCTGTGGCAAAACACAGAGTTCTATGCCGCCATCATCAACAGGCTTTTAAAAGCCTAAACATGCATAGAGAAAATAATATGTAAAGTGAAGTGTAAAAAAAAATTACTTGAAGTGTATAAATCAGTAAAGGTTTTTAAATTTCAATCAAATTAATTATTATTTTCATAATTATAATATTGTGTATGTATATATATAATATTCTTTTTAATTTTCCTGCAAGTTAAGTGTACTTCACTATATTAATATTATTTTATGCTTTTTAAATTCCAAAAACAGTTGTTTGGAGAAGACATATAAATATATTTACTTTACGACTACAAATATTTAACAGTGCAAATTGCAAAATTTTTATTAACTGTCATTCTAAAATTAAATTTATGGTACCCACGAGTGTACATGTCAGTTGGGTGAACAAATAAAATCAATTTTTTTGTATGTACACTTGGAAAGTATTCTAGGCTAGGCAGATTTGTATTTTAAAGGTAAGAAATAATAACTACAAAATATGTTATTTATACATTTCAAAAAAATTAGGAATCCAATGCAATGTTATTGTTAAAAACATAACAAACCTAAAAATTAAAAAAAAAAAAAAATTAATTTCTATTTTATTTTGAAGTGTAATATCATTTTAATCATTTTTTTTTGCTGGCGTAGAACGTGAATTTTAATTCACCAGCTTTGCTCGCAATGCTTTTTCCCCTGTGTAGCGGCGATGAATGCTAATGCTGATGGCTCATGGGACTGAGATAGGCAGGGCACACTGCTGAAACTGAAATATGCTCTGCATTACAGCATGTCAAGTATCCAATCTGGCCTGAATTAAGCCACGGCGCCTTTAAGATGCGGATTGCCATTGTGACCGGCCGGCGAACCATCAACCATCAGCTGGTGCAGTGGCCGGAATGTAGGCAAAACAGTCAAGTGCACTCACCATTGCATATATGCGAATTGTTGGCTAGCTGGGGAAATGAAACGGAATGCATGGGCTGCGTATCTTCAAGACATCCAAGGAGCCATCTACGAGGCCAACTGCTCGAGAAGCGCCCCAAGACATGCGGCTGACGTCCACTGAAGACCACTTCATGGGGCTTACAGTTCGTTCGCCATGGTCTTTGTGAGATGCCGTTTCCTATTTGCCCGGAGTCCCAGTACTCAGGTGTGTCAGCCTGACAAAGGAGGACCCGAAAACGAAGGGACTCGGACTGCCGGAAAAAGAGCAGCCTGCACTTGGCCATTAATTCTTAGGCAATCCCCTTTTTCCCATTAGGAAAAGCCGCTTATTGCCAGCTGGCTGCCTGAAGTGTATTGTTTAAGTATATTTTTTGCTAATAATAAGCCCTTCCCAAGTAGACCCCAATCAAATTAATCCAAATTAAGCAAACAAAATCATCCATTTTACAAATAATCTGATAAACAAACAACAGAAAAATCAAAGGCATTTGCTTATTAAATGAAAACGGATACAAATGAATAAAGGGCAAATCCCACGTCTAAAAATTAATTTCGATAAAAGCCCTTATCAAAGGAATTTTTTAAATTATTTTCTGCATTTCCCTTTCAGTTTCATATTTGATTTCTATCGTTTGCAGCGCAGTTTACTGGCCAACAAAGGATAAAAATAGCTTCTGGGAAAAGTGGGACTTATAGGTTAATACTTCATATTTGCTTTGCGTTTGATGTGTACTCATTTCTGTGATTCGCTTAGCATTTAGAAGAATATAAACACAAATGCGGGTTAAATTGACAGAAAGTTTAGTTTTCGATTCGGTTCAAATCAAAGAGTTTGTCAGCACATTTGTATAAAACGAAACATTTGAAAAGTAAATACTCGTTGAGTCTGCTGATTGATATTATTCTGTGACAAGAATCAATGAAAATAAATGGTCTTTTTGTTTGCAAGTAAATAAAGTCTAACAAGTATGATCAGTGGCGCATTCAGGTCTATTTGTGAGGGTGGGGTGTTCAATCACAGTTTTTACCCCAGTTTTTATTGCCTATGCCACTGAGTATTGCCAAAGCATACAATCTGATTACAGAAATATGTAAAAATGGTTATAGGAATTGGCTGTGCTCACCTGCCGTGATTATTGAGTTATTTTGTTTACGCAAACTTAAAGGTCACTCTACTTAGTTTTGTTAGTGCCTTGCATTGCAACTATTTTTCAACAAATTTGTTTGCTTTTGAATTCTGGATTTTATTATTTTTGTTAAGACCACTTGGTACTGAAAAGAGCTGAATTCTTACAAAAGTTCACTTTTCAGTTTATCATCGGTCAGGTCCAAAGTTGGCCAGCGCCAATGGCCAACTGGCGCCAACCGGAGACAAAACTTTAACTCAATTTCCGGCGATTACCCGGAAAAGTTATTTTCGTGAAATTTTAAGCAGCTTTTAAGCCGTTCTTTTGACGACTTAGCGGCTTTCAGAGCGATGCTAAAGCCATTACTTGTTGACACGCGGCGTATACGCAATTTTTAATTAAACCGCCAGTTGCTTAGAGATTAAAAGCATCCGAACAATGGCAGAGGTGCAAACCGACTGGGCTGTGGACTCGCGTGCGACTGAATCCCAGGACGCAGCAGCTGGTAGTTTTATCAATGAAAATTGTTGCTTGTCGGCATCCTTTTTTCCGAACGGAGGATGGTAAAGAGAGATTCGACGAGCGAGCAGGCGCGAAAGAGAAAGTGCTTTCTCGGCTCTTAAATGCAGGATGCGGTTTTATCTGCCCCAGCAAAAGTTGGCTTGTTGGTTCATATTTGCCGAGGCTATTCACTTTTCATTACTGCCACTTGTGTGTTGTTCTTGAACTCGACAGACGAAGAAGCCCCCTAGGAAAATGGATGTTTTTAAGCACACATTATCGGTGTGCGGGTCAGTTATTGGCTCCTCTACTTTGTGTGGTCAATAGTTGGTTTCGAGTGGGTGAAGTGTTTCACCATCGAGTGGATGTTCATTGATAAGCGCCGCCCTGCTCATTTTTAGGTCCAGGTGTGCGTGCCAAAACAGCCGCAATCCTGCAGTGTATCTTTTAATATAATAAACTCAAACGGCATCATGATTATGAGGTGGCTTAGAGGGGTATTTAGATCTGACTTTAGGGGATTCCTTTCATTTTTATTCAAAGTGAATATCCTCAACCTTTTTATTAAATTATATATTAACAAAAAAAAAAAAATTAAAAATTACACCAGAGAGAAAGCGAGTATTAATTGATTATACATTAGTTTTGTTATAAAAATTAATCAATATTAAATAATGATACAAATCATTATAATCACTTTTAAAAGTCAACATCTATTTTCCCCAATTCCCCAAAAGACAAATTTATATATTTTATCAAAACTAGAATTATTTAAATAGCACATTGCGCGAAAAAAAATAGTTTGTCGATTTTAAAAGAGTTAACTAAAACAGCCCTTACCAAAACTTGTATTTTTCCACCTTAATTTAACATTCTATGGCATTTACATGGTTGAGTTGGCCCACAAATCAAAAATAATAATTACACAGTATTAACTAGCTCATAAACACCTTGGTCTATTATATTTCGAGGAATTTATGCGGTTGACTGCGGTACGAAATAGTAGAGTTCGAGCGGCGATGACAAACTGGCGGCATTTTTCTGGTTTAGCATCGTCATGAACCGTTTCAGAGCTCGTAAATTGAGCAAAGCCAGCCGCAGCCAGTCGGCAGTTGCACTTTAATTAAAAATAAATACGGATAAAGGCCGTTTTCCCATGCTGCCGCTTTCCCCTTAGCAAATGCCAACGAGTTTAGTTCTAATGATTATTGATGTGGCTGCTGATGGCTTGGCTGTTTACTGGCTGTTCTCTGACCTGTCCAACAATGATTGCAGCTTGCCGTTGTCTGGTCTAAGGCAAATGCTCCGGGTTACATTCACGAGCCCAAACTCTTTACATTTCTGCCGATTTATTCAGCTGTGCATATTTTTTTATTTTCGTAATTCCCTGTTGTTTTCTGTGTTCGCTGTTGGCAAGAGCTCTTGGCTTAACTTGGCCAAAATGAGGGCTTGTAATCAGTGAAAATAAAAAACATTCAGCTCAAATGGTTGTTTTTCTTATTTGCCAATGTTATATTCTAATACCCTTAAAAAAAAGTACAGCTTAAAATATTTACACTAAAAATGTAGAGGTATTTAAAAATATCTCTAATTTTAAACTTTTAAATATGAATTACACCTATACAACATTTTTGTATTTTATGCTTTAATAAAAAGGTACACAACAAAATGTTTGTTATTATTTAATTTTAAAATTAAGGAATACATACACTGTATTAAATATTTATGACTTTTATTATACATTTACTAGCCCATTTAACAATTTATGGTAAGATAGAAATTTGATCCTTAAATCCATTACAAAAATGAGAAAAACTTGTATATACTTCTAACATCTAAAATAATATAATGTTTTTAAAATGTGATACATTTTGTAAGACCTTCTCCAAAGAGTATTGAAAAAAACGCAAATACATATTTATATGTGCAGGATATACTTCAAACTTTTGCAGGTTGTCTTCCCGGGTTAGATATTAAAAGTTTTGCTTTGTGGCACTAAATTATACGACATTTACGCATTTGCCGCCGGTTAGTAGTATATATTTTGTTTTCAGTTTGTAATTCAAAGCACGAAAAAAGCACTTACTCTCTCTGTTTATATCACTGTCTCTGTCTCGATGTGTACTTCTGGTTTCGCCGCCATTCCCCCACTCTTATTTTCCCAAAACCCCGAGCAGAGTAATTAGTGACTTGTACAAAAAAATAGGAATACAAAAAGAGTCTATTCTAAAGCGGGCATAAGCGTAAGTGTTCTCTGCGCAACTTTTCCAGATTGTAGACTTTGTGCTCGGGGAAACAGACATTTATGCTCCCGCTTGACATATCACGGAGGTCGTTTTAATACACGCCCCACTCAGCTTGCCCTGATGAACGACAATGCGAAATGCTTAACAGCTCTGGTAAAAATTTCCATTGCCAAAGCCGAACTTCGCGGGATGAGTCAGTCGGTAAAGTAAATGGGCTAAACAAGTATCCGTAGAGTGTAAAAAAATAAGACATCTGACGATTCCAATCTTTCAATGATTTAATAACAATACAAGAAACAATTTTCTAGTTTTAACTAGACTTAACACCTTTTCTTTTTAATAAAATACTTTATCAATTTGTATTTATACTGTTTTTTAAGCTTTGTAACAAAAGTGTACCTTTGAAATATTCCCACCTTTTAAAATAGCAAAATCAAATAACTAGTGTTTTGAAATCTTTATGAAATTATCAGTGATATCTGAACGCAGTCCTGAAAATACAGCGTAATTAACGCAGTTATCTGGCATAGAATATTTTGTTTATCGAATTTGGGTAATCTAACAAAAGAGTAAACAATTTCAGCCATTGACTCTTATTTGTAAAACTTAAACCTTCGAAAGCCTGCAATGTGTACAAGTGATGGGCTCGCTTTATAAATTTCATATGTATGTGAAACAAATTAATTTAATGAAAACTATTGATCGGTTCTGGTGACAGTGAAAAGGTATCGATGTCAGGGGAATTGGTTACGCAGTGCAAGGCAAACAAGCTGCACAACGCGATTAGCATGCAATAGTAATGCCGCTTAATGTGCATGGCCTGTGCATTTCCATTTCTCTACGATTTGTGGCTTTGACATGTGATGCAAAGATAAACAACAAAGCAATCAGCCTAAGTATCGCACAGATATATAGATAAGCCCTTCAAGTCCCCCACATTTCACCAGCCACATTCAAACAATACTGCTGGCTGTTGATCATTGAAAACCTGCGGTTTTGTAACCCCCTCAACCTCACTTTTTTCAAGCGCTTTCAACAGTCCCCTGAACAATCGAAATTTGACTGTCCAGTCTCGTCTTCAGGTCTTTCCCCGACTTGGATTATGATAGTCATCCGATTCGGCAGTTACTCATCGTCAGTTGATTCCAGCACGCACACAATTAGTCATTCAATTAATAGGGGTTTTTGACTGCTCGAATCTAGCATACCCTCTGGTACCTTAGATTTCTCGGCATACTGAAGCAATCAAAGAGACATAATGTTGGAAGGTAGAACTAAACTAACGGAAAACTTCAAAAGCTTTGGGTGATAGTGTAGAAGTACACCCATGGCTGACAAATTAGGGGCGATGGTTTAAAAACGACTGCATCACTTTTAATTTGTATTACATTTTAGGGGAATAATTTTAATCAAATTAAGTTTAAGCTATAAAGCTTAATAAATTAAATATTTTAAGTTATTAAGAACATCGTAATTGTGATTGCCAATAAATATTTTGTAAATGTATGGAAAACGTAAAACTAAATGAAACTTTATAGCTTAACTGAAGCCATTTCAAGCCTTTAAAAGACCAATAATTTTCGTTCTGTTTATTAAACATTGAAGTAATAAACCGTTTATTATTAGATGAGCACAATAAACACTCGAAAGAAGGCGATATTCTGGGGTCGTTACTTTATTTTAGTAGCTTCGTGTAATGAAGAAACACTCAAAATTGTACCGTTTGTAGAATCTAGTTGAGTGGAATAGTTTAACGGTTACCACGATTCAAAGGCAAGGTAAAGTCAGCCAAATGATTAACCTTTTAAATTTTAATCGGCTGTGGCTGGTATTTGGTTTGGGCTTGGCCTGCGAATTGGTCGCTTCCTCAGCACTTGAGTGGATACATTGGAAAGTTTCCGACCCCTGGGCCTCCAACTCGATTGGCCAGCAAACAGCGGAGCCAGAAGCGGAAGCACAAGCACAAACACAAGCAGAAGCAATCGGCGGCAGACACAAACCTCCGACGAGGCGATATAAGTTGCGGGTTCGTCGAGGCCCTAACCGCAGTTGTGTGACCGCGTTCGGCGGGCGAGCACGGAAAATAAGTCAGTAAGCCGCCAGATTTGTGCATTGCCGTTGCCATAAATAGTTACAGTTCGTAAATTAGTGGCGATTGGTGACAGTGCCTAGATAGCCCCGATAAGGCAAGTGTTCCGCGAAAGTTACACCAAGGCGAAGTGAAATCATGGGGAGGTCTCGCAACACCAACACCACACTTGCAATTGTCATTGCCCCGATCTTGATTTGTGGTGAGCTATAATACTATAGTAGCCAAACAAAGGAGTAACTTGATACTGAGACATTGTTGACAAAAATGCTTTAATCAAGATACGAGGCCTGCAATTAAGCCACATATGCCACACAGTGTTTTCATAACGAAGTGCTATAAACATTTAAACAATTGTCAGGACTGTGATAGCCCTTGCTACACGCAGAAAAAAAAGTGTTTAATGTGTAAATAATTTAACTTTGTGTAATAAGTAACCGAATTAACAAATTGAAAAATGTTGTAAGACAATATTTTTGCAGATTGATGTCATTTTCCAGAAAATCATCATAAATTATTTTATCGTGTTGATAGATATATAAGTAAAATTTATTGTCACTTAAAAGTTGTTAAACTATAAAATAATAATTAACTAAGTCATTATCATTTTGTAAATGCCCGATTATCTTGGTTTTTAATCAACTAACAACTGGAGGAAATCACAGTGTGAAGCTTTAATGATCATGATACCTGTCGTAGACAATCACAAAGGGATTTTTTGTAATAGGAAATTGTTTCTACTGTAATTTTTACAATTAGCTCAATAAACTTTATTTAGTTACGGTGTGAGCTAATTTGGGAAACAGTATTCTAAACATGCGGCTAATAGAAATTATACCATAATTTACTTAAATTTATCATAGATATGGCAACTCGTTAATGAGAGATAATTTGGCACATGTATTTTGCTATTTTAGTTTACACTTTTTTGTAGCCCAACATTTTTGTCTGGCATTTACAAATTAAAAATATTACAAGTGGTATTTACAACTGACAGTTGCGCCCTTTTATAGAAATTCTCGGCAAACTGTAATGAACTTTACACGGTTAACTGTTGCTCGATAAATGCTAATTGAATGAGCAATTACGGGTGTCTTGATGTTTGAACTGCCTGAACTGATTCCCAATGACGACGGGCACCACATTAATAAAATGTGCAAAATTAATAGGACACACATATCGCGTATTTATAGCTTTCGCCGCGACCAAAAATAGTTGATAGCTTTGCTCAACAGGTCTAGTGATAACACACCCACTCGATGTCACGAAATGTCACCGACATTATCTTTCAATTAGCACCTCAAGTAGCTCGATTAACTGTCTCTGTTTGTTTTCTCTCAAAAAATAAATTCATATAATTTAGACTTGTTGTCGCAGAGATCAATACTTAATATTTAGGCTGTACATGTCATTTTAACCATTTACTTACTAAGTTTAAGCGTATAAATATTTTATTTAAATACAACTATTTTAATGAAAACTGTTCTCTTAGCTTCGGTTGTTTTGGCCCAAGATTTTGGATATGAGGGCAGATATGGACCCGAGCACTGGGGTGAAGATTATGCCCGATGCAGTGGAAAACACCAGAGTCCCATAAATATCGACAAGGTTACGGCTGTGGAGAAAAGGTTTCCCAAGCTGGACTTTTTTAATTTCAACGTGGTGCCGCATGCCTTTCAAATGTCGAATAATGGTCACACGGTGCTGGTGAAGATGAGTTTCGACGAGGACACAGTGCCGACTGTGAGAGGAGGTCCTTTGGCGGAGAAAACTCCTTTGGGCTACCAGTTCGAGCAGTTCCACTTCCACTGGGGCGAGAACGATACGATAGGCAGCGAGGACCTGGTCGATAACCATGCCTATCCCGCCGAGCTCCATGTGGTCTTGCGAAATCTCGAATATCCTGATTTTGCAAGCGCTCTGGACAAGGATCATGGCATCGCCGTGATGGCCTTCTTCTTTCAGGTGAGGAAGCTCTTGTTGACTGTGGAAAACAAGCGTTTTTAATGTAATGTCTCTCCATTTATAGATTAGCAACAATTCAACTGGTGGCTATGAGGGTTTCACGAATTTGCTGTCTCAGATTGACCGGAAAGGCAAAACCGTGAACATGACCAACCCACTTCCCCTGGGACAATACATCTCGAAGTCTTTGGAAAGTTACTACACCTACACTGGTTCTCTGACAACTCCGCCATGCAGTGAGGAGGTTACCTGGATCGATTTCACAGTGCCCATAGACATTACGGAGAAACAGGTAAATATCTTGTATGAAAAGAGACAATTAGTAAATATTAGGTCAAAAGAGTTACTTAACCCAACAAAATAAAGCCATCATTTGTCAGTTTATTATATTTAAAAGTCATTCTTTGTGGAACTTAAATTATAGAAGTTATATAAAAAACAGTGTGATTTTTTGTCAACCTTATTATTGCACTAATAATTTTAAATAGTAGAAAAGATGTTTGTATGTTTGGTTTGATTAGCATGTAGCTTTCATTTATTATAGTGATGATAATACAAAGAGGTCAAACGGAATTATTATTATATTTTAATGTTTACCTAAGCGTGACATTTTTCCCAAAACTAATTTTAATTTTTATTTTTCCCTAGTTGAGCGCTTTCCGACTGCTGACGGCCAATGATGATCATCTAAAGAACAATTTCCGACCCATCCAGCCGCTGAACGATCGCACCTTGTACAAGAACTATATAGTGGTACCGATATTCAACATGGGCTCGATTCCGTTTGTCAATGCGGAAAATGCGGCTGGCAATGGGAGGTGGAGGCCCCTTTGCCTGGCAGTCCTGCTACCCAGTTTTGTCCTCATGGCTCTGCTAAGGACCTCCGTTTTCAGTGGTTTTTAATTAGAATTCTGCGGCGGGGAATCGAAGGTTAAATCGTTAAATGCCTAGCATGCGTTGAGGCGTCCAATTAAGCGCTGTAATTTACATTTTCCGCTCTTGTTCGCCGTCGCTGTTTGTTGTTCAAACACGAGTGCCGGTAATTTCCTCGGCACGGGCTCCTGCCGGCAGGTCAACCATATATATCTACGGGCAAACAATTAGGCGGCAGTACAGGGAAATTATTAAGCCCAAAAGGGGGGAGTTTTTCAGCTGGTACGATACCTTTACTCATCAATTATGCAGCACCTCGCACAAAGACTGTCAACTTCAACCGTATCGCATCCGTATTCGTATTCGCGTCCGTCCAACGTTAAACGTCCTTCATCCAAAGAAGCCTGTCAGTGCGAGGGTGACCCACTTGGAATTGCACATTGTGATTTTTAATGCTTGGCACAGGCAAAGCTTTTTATTTATGTACTTTAGGCTTAAGTTTTGTAAACATAAAACCGTAATAAAATGTATTTTTTGTTAATTTATGTTTGCTTGTGTTGTGGAATTACTAACAGCTTATTAAAGGGTTATTTTTTTGTAGTACTACGGAATTCATTAGTTAATGTACTCATTAATTTAAAGTTTATATTTATATTGATTTTTTGTAATAATAATTTTATATAATTGCAAAAAAGTTTTAAAGGTCATGAATGATTTATTAATAAAAGACTTTGTTAAATTTTGTTTCGGTTTTAACTTAATAAACATTCAAAGCGACTTTGTGTTATAATAATTTTATATGTTTGCCATGAGCTTTAAAGATCACGTTTTCTTAGATATTAATTACTTCTTCTCAATTTTTTACACTGTTTTTATTTCTGTATTTATTTTAAAGATGTCATATAGTAATGTATACTTTTCGGCGAGCATAAAAATGTACAATTCCTTTAAATTATGAATCCCTTTTTTTCTGATAAATTACGTATTTTCGACAGCTTAACATATCCTGTCTAGATTGCTTGTGTACTTGATTTATTTGACGCATGATAATGTAATCTAAGAGTCTTGTGCTGGCAGGGGAGAGTACTTTTGATGACCCGATGACCCTGGCTGTCAGCTGAAGCCTAATGAATTATTGCAAGCATGTGCACAAATCTATCAGCAAAATATCAACTTTTGAATTAAAGTCGAAGAGTTCGTCTGGCGAAAGTCGAGCTCGCCAACATGATTTATTTATAATTGCTTGAGGCCGTAGTAAAAACGGTGGAGCCTCTCTATAACAAACAGTTATCTCATTTATGGGACAACATAGATTCGCAGGAGGCTCTAGTGAGAGGACTCTGTATTTTGGAAAACGGATTGATCATCGTTGTTTGCCATTTGTGCCCATTCTGCGTCTAATAGCTTTGTCCATCCGACCTCTCGAACTTTACGTATGATCCCCTACCTAATTATAGAATAATAATAGCATTTTAATAACCTTATCATGTTTGTTTATGAATGTGATCGACCATACAATATGGCGAATTCGACCTAGAACTTGGGGCCAATGCTGCGCAGTGGGAAATCAAAATGCGATCTAGATATGCAGTAAAAATAGCAATACTATAAATAAAACGATTTAAAGGCCTGTCCAGTTTCCGTTTGCTTTTATTGACTTTTATAACTCTCTCCTCGACCGATTGCATTCGCCGGCACGATCTGATTTAATTGATGATACCAGCATCGACATGGGCAACGGCATCGGTGTGAAATAAAAATATTATGAAACTTTTCCATTGCCGCCCAGCTTCCCCAATACCCGTACTTTGTGCGAAACGCTCCCCTAATAGGTGATAAGGTTTGTTGACAAAGATCGTTACAAACTGACCCCTTGATGGTGACGAACGGCGATATTGCGACTCGGGAAACTTGGAACAAGCCCCTCCGGCCCAGGTCTATATAGATCACCATCACCATCCACTTCTAAGTATGGCGATCAGTCCGCCCCTTCGTGGGCAGTGTGAAATCTCAACTTGTAGTTCGCACTTGCGACGAATGTGAGTCTGGATCGAATCGAATGGGATCGACGTCATGTTTGTAGACGACTGATAACTTTTCTTTAGGCAATCCCCCCCTTGATGGCACATTAAGCTTCAGCTTGATGACTGTGTGCCCAGATTGCGGGCCGTTGTTTCTACTTTTAGACGTTCGTCTGACCGCTGGATGTGGAGCGTTGGCTTTTGGCTATGGACCTGTTGTTTTCCTGGCGGTTGTTCAAGGTTAGCCATGGCCCGAGATCTATCGGAGGAATATTTTGGGTGCTTAAGGCGTGACTTCTGATCTAGGGAAGTATTGTATGCCTGATCTCACATGCTGGAAATCCGTTGAAGTCATGTTACTATCCCGTTAGATTTTTGATTTCGTTATTGTTATGCAAAAGTTTTTGTTTCTTTTGCTATTTTACAAAATAACAAAATTTATTTATAATATAAATATAAAAAATATATAACTATTGAGTCGAGTAAATTCTTATCTTAAACTTAAAGAAACACATTCATGAGTCCTCAAGTAACGACCCCAACCATCAGAATCGTTACTCAGTGCCGTGGCCTTGCACTTGATCCAGATATATGTGAAACAGACTCATTATGTATTTTTATAGCCTACCTTTCGATGTTATCAGTCAAGTGCAGTTTTCAGTTTTATGAGTTTATGTAGCGAAATAAAAAGTAATGCAGCTCTAGATAAGTCGAGCAGAATTTGTGTGGGAGTCCCGGACTTCTGATAAGGAATTTTAAAACCAAATGTAATGCAATTTAAAAGGCCTTATGTTTCTCCTTATATATGGTGATATAAATGTTTGAGCCCGGGTTTCAGGCGTAATATTGATAATGATTGGGAGAGGCCGCACGGGAAGCGACGCAGGCGACTCTCGTGTTTTGAAAAATAAAAAACATACTATAAATCATTTTCGAGTACACTTAGAATAGAAGAGAGTGTACTATATGGAATGTGATTGTGTATTCCGTTTAATTTCCGATGGTCGGCAGGCTATAAAAGTGTGAGATCTAAGCGCCCAGCGATTCAAAAGTGTTTTGCTTGCTTAAGTGCGCGGTACTACCCAAAATTCTAATTCAAGTTCTTAAATACTACTTAACATTTAATTTTCTTCAAAATGAGAATCCTTGCGGAGGTAAAAATTGGTTTACTTTTAGTGATTTAAAGTGTCTTAAACAATAGTGCATTTTATTGATAGAACCATATCCATCTTCTGGACCCTTCGGAACTGATGCGCCCTGAGCCCACATTTGCCGACAAGAATCCCTCCAAATTCCGGGACTACAGTGTGGACACCAACGATCCCCTAAAGGAACGTGTGCGTCAGACCTATCGCCAGATGCACTTGAACCAGACCGTGGACTTTGTCAAGGGTAAGTTACAAAAGCAAGTGCAATTAAAAAGGAATAATAATTATGATATCAATCATTTTATTGAATAATATTATAATAATTATAATATTGAATAATATATGCAATTTTTTAAACTTAAAAACTTAGACAAAAGAAAAACTTTTAAAGCCTAATCAAATGTGATTCAATTTAAAATTATCGTTAAAATTATTCCTGGAATCTAATAAAAAATTGCACAAATTGCACAGTTATAAAAACATTGAGTTAAAATATTTAGTTAAATTTCAATGTGAGAAACATTACAACATTTTAAACTACTTTAATTCCTAGACATGAATTAAAACACATGAACCAAAAAAATAGTCATAGAAATTAAGCTATTGTAAAATGAATTAAGAATAACAAATTTGTCAATAAGATGAGTATAAAAATAATAACACAAAAGCATCAAAATAAAAACTATGTGGCTTAAACATAAGGGCTACAGTTGTAGACTTCATTTAGAAATGAATCTACAAAGTATAGGTGTGGGTTCAAAACAGGTTAGCCATTTAATATGTTATTAAAAATATTTCCTTTCCTCAGAACTTAGCTATCCATTTTATATTTAAATTGTGATTATTTTTATAAGGTCGCCGCGATCGCTGGCTGAAGTTCAACACGATTAAGATGACTGTGCGCGAGGCTCTGGAGAAGCTGAACGATCTGGTGGACGAGTCCGATCCCGACCTGGATCTGCCCAACATAATCCACGCCTTCCAGGCCGCCGAACGGGCACGAGCCGAGTTCCCGGAGCACGATTGGCTGCACCTGACGGCCCTCATCCACGATCTGGGCAAGATCATGGCCTTCTACGATGAGCCCCAGTGGGCGGTGGTCGGAGACACCTTCGCCGTGGGCTGTCGATGGGGCGACAGCATTGTTTACCGGGAGGAGAGCTTCGAGGGAAATCCCGACGGGGATAATCCCGCTTATAACACCGAGTTGGGCATTTACAAGCCCAACTGTGGTGTGGACAATCTGCTGATGTCCTGGGGACACGATGAGTACATGTATTCTGTGCTGAAGCACAACAAGACTAAGCTGCCCCATGTGGCATGCAACATCATTCGCTTCCACTCGTTTTACCCGTGGCACAACGGCGGCGATTATAAGCACCTGGAGGCTCCCCAAGATGCGGAGACCAAGAAGTGGGTGCTGATCTTCAAGTGAGTTTATTTATTTTTTTAATTTAAACCCCAGTTTAATAACCCATTTTCCCATCAGTCGCTACGATTTGTACACCAAGAGCGAGGTGGTTCCGGATATTGAGGCTTTGTGGCCTTATTATCAGACTTTGATCGATAAATATTTGCCAGGAGAGTTGGAGTTCTAAGCAAATGTTTAAAGATTTCCTATTTTATAGATCTTAATTTACCAGCAACCATTATTTTTTCAAGCGATTTAACCCTATTTCTTAGATAACACATATACTTGTAATATAATATAAAACATGTGTAATACTGTATATCCAATATAAAAATTATGTACAAATACTAAAAACACTGTCTTGATTTACTTTTATTATTCTTGACGGGTTTGAAAATGTAAGAATTCAGAAAATGTAAATATATTTCAACAAGTACTCGACCTTCATTTTTCTTAAAAGTGTACATACTTTTCGGCTGTATCAATTTGTGAGAACACCTATTGTGGGGAAGGAAATATTTCGTAGGCGATGCATGTCTAAAAAATAAATTAAATCAAGTGGATATCTAACAACCTTAATATGTATACGGCTATCGTATAGATGTCCAACGAAGAGATCTGCCCAAATCAAAATCAGGCATTAGAAATCTAATCGCATAGCGTGCCCAGATCTCAATTGAGACTGGTTGTTCAGGTGGTGGGGAGTCTCGGTGGCGATAAGCCGCCTACCGATCGATTCAATAAAAGCGGGACAATTTCCTCTTCTCAAGACAGTTGCGGTCTGAATTCAGAAAAGTAAGCAACATGAACTGCGTGAGATTGAGATTGTTCTTTGTGCTGAGCTGCCTGTGGCTCGGTTCGTCGGCGAGCAGTGATCCGGATGATCCCCTCTTGATGGTGGAGCTGCCCCAGGGCAAACTTCGTGGCCGCGATAATGGCAACTACTACAGCTACGAATCGATTCCGTATGCCGAACCCCCCATCGATGACTTGCGATTTGAGGCGCCGCAGGCGTACACACAAAAGTGGCTGGATACTTTCGATGCCACTCGGCCACCGGTGGTGTGCCTGCAGTGGGACCAGTTCACCCCGGGAGGCAACAAGTTGGCCGGCCAAGAGGACTGTCTGACTGTCAGCATCTACAGGCCCAAGAGCAGCAGTCGCAATGGCCTTCCCGTGGTGGCCCACATTCACGGAGGTGCCTTCATGTTCGGGGCAGCTGCGCAAAATGGGCACGATAATGTGATGCGGGAGGGCAAGTTCATACTGGTGAAGATAAGCTATCGCTTGGGTCCACTGGGTTTCGCGAGCACCGGTGATGCGGATTTACCCGGAAACTACGGACTGAAAGATCAACGACTGGCTCTGCAATGGATTAAGGCAAACATAGCCCGCTTTGGTGGAGAGCCAGAGAACATCCTGCTCGTGGGTCACTCCGCCGGAGGAGCATCGGTTCATTTGCAGCTCCTACGTGAAGACTTCGGCAAGCTGGCCAAGGCAGCGATCTCATTCAGCGGCAATGCCTTGGATCCTTGGGTTGTCCAGAAGGGAGGACGAGGCCGAGCACTTGAACTGGGGCGCATTGTGGGCTGTGGACTGGCTGCAGATTCGGCAACCCTTAAAAAGTGTCTCAAATCCAAGACTGCCAGTGAAATAGTAAGTGCTGTGCAAAGCTTCCTAATATTTTCCTATGTTCCATTTGCACCATTTGGACCTGTGGTGGAACCGCTGAATGCTCCCGACGCCTTCATCACCCAAGATCCCCGAGATGTCATCAAGAGCGGGAAATTTGGACAAGTTCCCTGGGCCGTGACCTATGTCACTGAGGATGGTGGCTACAACGCCGCCCTGCTACTGGAAGAATCGAATAAATGTGGAAAGACATTGCTTGAGGAACTTAACGATCGCTGGTTTGACTGGGCCCCGTATTTGCTATTCTACCGGGACTCAAAGAAGACTATCGAGGAAATGGACGATTACTCCCGGAAAATTAGGCAGGAGTATGTGGGCGATCAGAGATTTAGAAGCCAAAACTATTGGGAATTGCAGCAGCTCTTCACGGACGTCCTCTTTAAGAACAGCACACAGGACTCCTTGGATCTTCATCGCAAACATGGAAAGAGTCCAGCCTATGCCTTTGTTTATGACAACCCAGCCGACAGAGGAATCGCCCAGGTGCTGACCGAACGAAGGGATATTAATTTTGGTATGTGAACCGTTATTATTATATCAACTTAAATTAAATGGTCACTTTTCAGGAACGGTGCACGGAGACGACTACTTTTTGATATTCGAAAACGTTGTACGAGATCCGCAGTTGCGTCCGGATGAGAAAAGCATTTCGAGAAATTTCATCAGTATGTTGGCGGACTTTGCTCTGAGTGACAACGGGACACTAACCTATGGCGAATGCGTTTTCCAGGACAATGTGGGCAGTGAGAAATTTAATTTGTTATCCATAGACAAAAACGGATGTGAGAACAAACAGTATGTTCAGTTTCCCTAAAGTTCTTCACCGAAATAAAACTGTTATTGATTTAACAACATTATGCATTAAATATTTTCATTTATTAGGTACATAAATTAATTAAACACAAAAATTAGTATTAAACAAAAAATGTCTGCTTTTAGGTTTTGCTAGGTTTGCACCTAGAAGTGCTGGTTTTAGGTCAGTTTTCTACAAACTTTTCTGAAACTCCATTTTTGGAAAATCAACCCAAATTTACAAACCAACATTTTAATGCAGATTTTCAGAGCTTAAATCCAAAAACTTATAGAGCTATGCCTTTTCAAAATCGGATATCTGTAAGAAAAGTTATGGACTTAAAAGTGGTGATATTTGGTAACGTTTCTGGAAAGCCATATTTGAAAAAAAGGAAAAGGGTAACATTAAAATTTCAAGAAAATCAACCCAAATTTACAAACCAAAATTTAAATGTAGATTTTCAGAGTTTAAATCCACAAACTTATAGAGCTATGCCTTTTCAAAATCGGACATCTGTAAGAAAAGTTATGGACTTAAAAGTGGTGATATTTGGTAACGTTTCTGGAAAGCCATATTTAAAATTTGGTTCTGAGTAGTATTTAGTTAATTGATAGTGAGTTGATTCCCGATTGAGTGCATTCTCAAAACGCGTATAATTTAGTTTGTTCATTCGGGGAAGAGTCGTTTTTGCGACAATAAAGCTATGGTAATGGGACGTGATAAGCTTTAAGCTATAAAGCAAAAGGCAACCTTTTGATTGTTCGCAGTCTCGTTTACGATTCGTCGGATTTTGGACATGTTTTTGATTAAGTGGTTGATCTGCTTAGTTTTGCTCTGGGCAAAATTAAAATATACTAAAGCAGGAGCAGAATCAGATCCCCTGGTTGTTGAGATCCCGAATGGAAAACTCCGTGGAAGGGACAATGGCAACTACTACAGCTACGAATCAGTTCCCTATGCTGAACCACCAATCGGGGAACTTCGATTCGAAGCTCCTCAACCGTACAGTCAAAAGTGGCGGGAAATTTTCGATGCAACACAACCAGCCGTAGACTGCCTGCAATGGAAACAATTCAGGAATGAAAAGCTGCAAGGCGAGGAGGATTGCTTGACCGTGAGCATCTACAGGCCGAAGAACAAAACTAGAAGCAGCTACCCAGTCGTTGTTCTTCTACATGGTGGTTGCTTTATGTTCGGTGGAGCCGCTTCGTATGGGCAAGAGTACATCATGCGCGAGGGAAAAATGATTTTGGTAAAAATCAGCTATCGCTTGGGTCCATTGGGTTTCGCGAGTACGGGTGATAAGAACTTGCCGGGGAACTATGGATTAAAAGATCAGCGGCTGGCTCTTCGATGGATCAAGCAAAACATCGCAAGTTTTGGTGGAATGCCGGAGAATATTGTGCTCATTGGTCATTCTGCAGGCGGAGCTTCAACTCATTTGCATCTGCTGCATGAGGACTTCAGCCAGTTGGCCAGGGCAGCCATATCGGTGAGTGGAAATGCACTTGACCCTTGGGTTGTCCAGCAGGGGGGACGAAGACGAGCCTTTGAATTGGGGCGCATTGTTGGATGTGGACAAGCAGCGGACTCTGTGGAACTAAAGAAATGTTTAAAGTCCAAACCGGCCAGGGAAATAGTTTCCGCCGTTCGTAGCTTCCTCGTGTTTTCATACGTTCCCTTTACGCCTTTTGGACCTGTTGTGGAGCCAGCAGATGCTCCAAATGCCTTTCTCACTCAAGATCCCAGAGATGTGATCAAAAGCGGAAAGTTTGCACAAGTCCCTTGGATTGTGACTTACAACACTGAAGATGGTGGCTATAATGCCGCTTTACTGTTGGAAAAGAATAAGACAACCGGAGAGACCCGGATAGAAACACTTAACGATCGCTGGTTCGACTGGGCTCCCTACTTGCTTTTTTACCGAGACTCAAAGAAGACCATTAAAGACATGGATGAGTACTCTAGGAATCTAAGGCAGCAGTATCTGGGAGATCGGCGATTCAGTGTGGAGAGCTATTGGGACTTGCAGCGTATGTTCACCGACATTCTTTTCAAGAATAGCGTGCCAGAAGCACTAGATCTTCACCGGAAATATGGTCAGAGTCCCGTCTATTCGTCTGTCTACGACAATCCTGCTGTTTCTGGATTGGGTCAGGTGCTTTCAAAACGCACTGATGTATTTTTCGGTGAGTATAAGGTTGTATTAAAATAATGTTTTCTAGCTAATGTTTGCCTTATTAAAGGTACCGTACATGGAGATGATATTTTCTTGATGTTCGACGGTGTTTCCCTACGGACAGCCATTCGTCCTGATGAAGAAGTTATTTCAAGAAAGTTCATTAAGATGCTAGAGGATTTAGCACTTAGCGATAAAGGCACTCTGTCATTTGGAGAATGTAGTTTCCAAAATAATGTGAACAGCAAAAAATATCAAGTGCTCAGAATAACACGAAAGGGTTGTAAGAATGAGCAATATGATTAGTTTCTCTGAAAAATTTTAAATAAATATTCCAGTGGATCAAGCAACCTATGGCAGGTTTTGGTGGAGGAGATCCTGATCGTGGGTCAATCCGCTAGAGACGCTTCTGTTTACCTGTAACTCTTCATTAAGATTTGAGCCTTTTGGCCAAGGCTATGCCTTAGTTCTTTGGGTAGTTAATATGTTCTTGTTTTACTTGTGATTGCGAAAATAGCTTCAGAGTTCGCAATCTACATTTAATTTTGTTCTCTCTTTTATCAAAAAATAATTATCTAGCCTTAAAAAGCGTTTTTTGTTAAAATGTTGGTAAATAAAGGTAATGATTGCTCTCATAATGTAAAGAATTTGTGAACGACAAATCGTAATTTTGGCTGTTCTGAAGATTATACATTCAACATTTTTTTTAGTATTATAAAATGAATGGTGATTAAAGTAAAGGAATGGCAGAACATGCGGATAAATGTACTAAATGGCAGTGCACATACTAGCTATCAATAAACATTTTTTGATGTAAAGGAACAGAAAATTGTAGGTTGGTGTTCTATTGAATTGCTTGAATTTTTGTTTTTCTGCTGTAGCAATGCTCCTTTTTGCAGCTAGGCGTTTGTAAAAATGTTTTCAGTGTAAGACTAAATTAATTGCTAACTCAGTAATTCCCGACTGACTGTTGTTACACCCGAAATATTCTCAAAACGCGTTTAATTTTGTTTGTTCTTATAGGAATACTCGTTTTTCGCGGCTATAAAGCAATAAGCAACCTTTGTTCGTTGGCAGTCGCGTTAAGAATTCATCTGATTTGAGAACATGTCTATATTCAAGTGGTTGATGTGCTTGATTTTGCTCTGGGTGCAATTAGAGTCTTCTGAAGCAGCCTTGTCATCAGATCCCTTGGTTGTTGAGATCCCAAATGGAAAACTGCGTGGAAGGGACAACGGCCACTACTACAGCTACGAATCGGTTCCCTATGCTGAATCCCCAATCGGGGAACTCCGATTTGAAGCTCCTCAACCGTATAGTAAACGGTGGGCGGATGTTTTCAACGCAACGCAGCCACCAGTAGCCTGCCTACAATGGAACCAGTTCAGGGAAGAAAAGCTCCAGGGGGTGGAGGATTGCTTGACCGTGAGCGTCTATAAGCCAAAGAATACGACTCGGAGCAGCTACCCTGTGGTGGTGCTCCTGCATGGTGGTGCCTTTATGTTCGGTGGAGCAGCGTCAAATGGGCACGAGTACATTATGCGCGAGGGCAGACTGCTGTTGGTTAAAATAAGCTATCGCGTTGGGCCTTTGGGCTTTGCCAGCAGCGGGGATAAGGACTTGCCCGGAAACTATGGACTGAAAGATCAACGTCTGGCTCTTCGATGGATTAAGGAAAACATAGCGAGTTTCGGTGGAATGCCGGAGAATATTGTGCTCATTGGTCATTCTGCAGGCGGAGCTTCCACTCACTTGCAGCTCCTGCATGAGGACTTCAGCCAGTTGGCCAGGGCAGCCATATCGGTGAGTGGAAATGCACTTGACCCTTGGGTTGTCCAGCAGGGGGGACGAAGACGAGCCTTTGAATTGGGGCGCATTGTTGGATGTGGACAAGCAGCGGACTCTGTGGAACTAAAGAAATGTTTAAAGTCCAAACCGGCCAGGGAAATAGTTTCCGCCGTTCGTAGCTTCCTCGTGTTTTCATACGTTCCCTTTACGCCTTTTGGACCTGTTGTGGAACCAGCAGATGCTCCAGATGCCTTTCTCACTCAAGATCCGAGAGATGTGATCAAAAGCGGAAAGTTTGCACAAGTCCCTTGGGTTGTGACTTACACCACTGAAGATGGTGGCTATAATTCGGCTTTACTGTTGGAAAAGAACAAGACAACCGGAGAGACCTGGATAGAAACACTAAACGATCGCTGGTTCGACTGGGCTCCCTACTTACTATTCTACCGAGACTCAAAGAAGACTATTAAGGATATGGACGAGTTCTCTAGGGATCTGAGGCAGAAGTATCTGGGAGATCGACGATTCAGCGTGGAGAGCTATTGGGACTTGCAGCGGATGTTCACCGACATTCTTTTCAAGAATAGCGTGCCAGAAGCACTAGATCTTCACCGGAAACATGGTCATAGTCCCGTCTATTCGTTTGTCTACGACAATCCTGCTATTTCTGGAGTGGGTCAGGTGCTTTCCAATCGCACTGATATATTCTTTGGTTTGTATGAAGTTGTATTAAAACAATAACACAAGCTAAAGACATACTTTTTAAAGGTACTGTCCACGGGGATGATTTCTTCTTGATGTTTGACGTTGGGACACTAAGGAAAGCAATTCGTCTTGATGAAGAAATCATTTCAAGAAAGTTCATAAAAATGATAGAGGATTTTGCACTTAGCGAAAAGGGTATTTTAACGTTTGGAGAATGCGATTTCCAAAATAATGTGAACAGCAGCGAATATCAAGTGCTCCGAATAACAGGAAACAGTTGTATGAATGAGCACTATGATCAGTTTCTCTGAGAAATTTAAATATAAATATAATATGTTATCAAAAAAGAGATTTATTAAACCTCTATCATGCCGCTTCAACTATCATGGGATCCTCGATCAATTCCTCGTCATCATCCTGGCTATCCCCCTCGCCCAGCACATTGCCGTATAGCTCGATCTTGCTGTCCAGGAAGCGGAAGTCCTTGAGGATGTGCAACTTGTTGCTGAAGCCGGCAATGGACATGAGCTTGATCGGTGAGGTTTGCCAGACAGCGGAGTAGCAGGCAGTGTGCTCCACTGGAATATTGGCCTGCAGAACTCCGTTTAGGGTGTAGGACTGCACATGGTTGTGCTCGCCGCCAATCAAGACGCAGTCGTCCACGAATTCGCACAGATGGACGCGACCTGGGAAGTCAAAGACCCGGGTGCACTCCAGAGAGCGCAGGTGGTAAATGGATGCCTTGGGTCCACCGCCGCAGAGGAGCCAATCCTCGTTGACCGCCACTGCTCCGATCCACTTGCCCCAATCTGGGCGCAGTAGATTAGCATTCTTGTGCGGCTCCAGCAAGGCGGTCTGCTCCTGCTGCTTGGTGCTCCACACTCGCACGGTGCCATCCTCAGCGCCCGAGAAGATCTGACCCTTGGCATTGCCCACCACACTGTGCACGTAGTCCGTGTGGCCACGGTACTCCCGCTGAATGCGTCCATCCTCCAGACTCACTTGGTAGATTACTCCATCACCGCAGCCGGCGAACAGCGTGCTAGTTGCCGAGTCCAGCCACATGGAGTTCACATCGGGCACTTCGACAGCGTCCACCTGCATGGGTATCTTCACCTCCCAGGAGCGCTTGGTGGCCAGCGATTCCTCCTCCTCGTTCCAGGGCAATCCGTAAATCATGCCTACTGCACCCACTATTAGGAAATCCCGATGGAAGGCCAGGTAGTTGATGTCCACACCGCTGCCCTGCGGAAAGATCTTCAGTTTGCCTGGGGGCTCCTCGGAACCCTTGTCCAGTTCTTTAATCCTTTAAAGAAATCGAACTTTATTAAGTGAAGATTGACCATGCCGAGAAGTCTTACCTAAGCACGAAAATATCACCAAATAGATTGCCCGCAAACAGGTACTGCTTTGAGGTGGATATAGCCTGTGCCAGGACATTGTTATAAGCTCGTTTCAGATCCTTTTCTTTCATCTTTTTAAATACAAAATATCAACAAGAATCAAATCAACAGCCACAACGGTTCTCAGGTTGTATTTTGTGAGAATGTCATCAGGTGGCAATCACCGCGCAATTGTGAGTACAGTCACTTCGCGTCGTTTTTCAGCACTGAAAAATTAATGCTCAACTATCGACGTTACATCGGCATCGTGGCAGTCGCATGCAATGTTACCATAATAATTGAGTGTGAATGGCATCGTCGTTTTTCAGCACTGAAAAATGTATTCCTCAAATCGATACTGGCATCGAGTAAACAATGGTTGGAGTATCTGCTAGTCGCAGAGAAAGTCTCCACTATACATGGTTTAAGTCTCCACTACGTTTTAATTTTTCAAGCAGTAAGAATCTTCCAATTTTTCCAATCAGAAGTAAGCAGCTTAAAAATTTCGAATTAGCATTTTACTGCTTTTCATATTTAATAAAGCAGTCGATTTTCGTAATGAACCCATTACGAATCTTGTTACGTTAAACCGTTAGCCAACGTAAAGATTGTTTTGAATTTTGTGAAGAACCTGTTTTAAATTACTGCAAAATTCGTTTGATTTTGAGGAAATACAGCAAATTACAATTGTAATTATCCGAACAAAATCGTTCGCCGGTGATCGCATTTTGCTTATTGCATTCCTTATAAATAATGATATTCGCCATGTGTGTGCCTTGAATTATCGACTGACAGATGCATTCAGAAGTAAGTGTACTTGCCGTAAATGTTTATTTACGATTAATCTCATTAATTGTAAGCTGGAATGCCTTTAGCGGTCTAATTTTGAATTAAATCAGACAATAAGTTCGATGGCATCCCGCAAAGGCGATATTTATTTGCGTTGTCACAGTGAGCGCAGAACTTTGAGAAAGTCTGGGACCTGTCAGACAGTCAAAATATTAGTTGACTAATCGCCTAAAAATATTAATTTGTAAGCCAACGATGACGTTTCATAATATTGACTTGGCAATTTGGATTGGAGAGTGAATCATCGACTCATTGGAAAAGTCTTCGCATGACGTCAAGTTTTAAGCGCTCTTAAAATTTGGAGAGCGTGCTCATATGCATGTTTGCTTTTAAACGAATGGTGATTGCCCACTTATGATTGGAAAACAATAATAGACAGCTTGCTTGGTATTAAATTGCTATTAACATCAGGTTTCTGTTGTTTACCAATCAAACATGGCATAATTTGCCTGAGCTTTTATTTACCAAATAAATTCTGCGATTTGATGGGTTCATCAAGAATGTTGTGTTCGAGATTGAGATATATAAATTAAATTCTTTATTTCCAATTTTACAGATAAAGATTGTGTTTCAGGATGTTGCATAAAAAATATAATTGAACATTTATTATTTAAAAATTTGTATAATTAGCTGTCTTAGAAGTTTATAAAGACTATAATCTTTTGAAAAATGATACAAAGTCGTAAGTAAATAAATAAATGGCAACACCATTTAGTAAATACTCTATTCTGTTAAATTTGAAGACTTATCAATAATTAGGATAGCACAGAATTCACCAATTTTTTAGCACCAATTTGTTTGTGCGTTGTTTGATACATATTTGTCCGGTTGTTGTTCTCGACCGTTCTAATCGCTCTAATTTATATGCAAATTCAAATGGCTTATTAGTGTCGAGAGAGTCGATTTATAATTAATTAATTCGGCGCCACCGAGTTGTTCTATCTGTCGCAGAATAATTCACCTAGTCGCCGCCGACCCAACATATAAGTTTAAATTCCAATTCCAAGCATCGAAAATTCCCCAGATTCCCATTAAAGCCAAGAACTTCTCCATTTGGGCGTGAGCTTCGCTTTACGAGTTTGAAGAGCGGTTTCCCAGCTTAATCGATTCCTTATCGGTGGGCAAGACATATCAAGTTTTATAAGCGGCTTCAGTTGGCAGCATATTAATGGCATGCAAATTTAATTTGACAACTTGACGTATTATGCGAATTCGAAGCGAGATGCCAAGACGATTTGTTTTGACGACTTTCTTAGGTTTTTATTGGAACCATTTGGATTTGGATTGGCATTTTGCACGTGTTTTTCGGGAATTCCATAGCCATGGCTGTCGGAACTGCAGATCAATAGACAAGATGCAAAGATACATAAACTTGCGAACTGGCAAACTGGCGCCAAAGAGTTTCTTTGCTTTGGGCCAACGGCTATGAAGCGATCATCTTTCTTTCTCGACTAATGATAAATGCTTTTGATGAATTTCAGCAAATTTTGTTTGCTACACAGCGTCGTCGTCGTCGTCGTCGTCATGGGAGTTTGTTTTTGTGGCCCAGTATTCGGTCGGTTATTTTGTTGGGAAATCCCCAAGCGCCATAAATTTCTTCTAAGCGGCTCTTTCTTCTTTCTTTTTTGTTTGCTGTTTGCTGCGGTATTCTCACATATTCGGTCTTCATCACGAATTGGGGTCCAACCGGATCTAGTTTGCCCAAAACTCTGGCCGAGAAACGTTCAAAAAGATCGAGCCCTCGGGAGGAGTGGAACTTTTACTGCCTGGCGAAAAGTGGTATGGCGACTACTGGTTCTACGCCGTTGCATATTAAAAGCTCATTCGCCGGCACATTAATTAATTTCCGAGGCCCGTAGCCGTACGAAACAAATGGTGTTAGCTGACGTCAACGGACGATTTGATTGGGTTTTAAGACCCATTTTTTACGCCTACGCCGAACGAGGAGATCTTTGGTCAATGCACTCCGCATGCGCCCCACTCAATTAGACACCAGATCGGCATAATCCAGCTTTCTAGCTGATATCTCTCTGACTCGGATCTCTAATTTCGTTACGAATTCCGTCAAGGTCAGCTACTTTCTCGGACAAGGTAAGCAACATTTATGGCATATAGTATATGGCGCCAAAGACGAAAGCCGCTGAACTTTGTGGTCAAAAACAACGCTTTTTTTTTGGGTGTTCCCGGGCCCGAGATTGGGCTCTCATTTGCATCAATTTACATCTCGGATTCCCAGTCGCATTATTTAAATTTAGATTGTCGAATAAATCTCGCCGGTTGGCGGAGTAATTTATTCAAAGCATTCGCCAAAAAATGAAATATGCACTCAGACGGCGGCACTAAAACTCAAATTAGTCCGAAAAAAAGCAAGAAAGTAAAGTTTTATTTGCTCCCGAACCTGTTCTATAAACTTTGACGATGTGCTGAAAACTAATTGGAAGATTAGCCTGTCCATCAATAAAAGACACCTCCCAGAACGGGAAGTTATAGTTCATATGTCCAACACGTGCATATTTGGTTTATTAAATTAAGGGAGGAGGATTTCTCATCTTGTAGCAAGTGTTTCGCACCTTCATGTCCGATTAATTTTATTAGTGTTTGCGTATTTATAAACTTGAACCTGCCAATGAGTAATGCAAATATTGCGATCTTCGGGATAGAGTGATCCCCGAATCCGGGATGCTCTATCGAAGCACGAAGGCACGTGTAATTGCCGACTTCACTTAGCAATACTCCTTTTGCCCGCCTGAAGATTAACATTCCGTTGACGCACTGGATTTACTGAAAAACAAAGCCATTCGCTGGCTGTTTTTACAATTCGCCTGCTAATTAAGTAAATAAAATTAAAGCGAATGCTAATCTCGGTTGTTTTTTTATTGACAACACAAAAGGCTGGCGCCAAGCCAATTAACTACCATTTTTCAATATTTATTTTCATTGGGTTTGGGGAATTTTTGAATTTCTGCGCAGGAAACAGGAAAATCGAAAGAAAACAGTAGAACCAAATTAATTGATTAAAATATATTGAGTCAGCATTGTTGTGATTTCGATCTGGAGCGCAATCTACATACTAATATTTGTTTATGATAAACAAACAGCAAACTTGATTCATAGCCGTTCCCCCGAAATTCGGACGAAAGTTTTGGTTTTGCTCGGAATTATCAACATTTTTGGCTTTTGGACTTTGAGGCGTAAATGAATAACTTATAGTATGATACGAAATTCTAATGGCGCCACTGAATCAGAAACAAATCGGAGTCCCCGCTGTTTACGGATCACGAAAATGCCAGTGAAGATGCGCAAAAGCAACTTTCAAATAAAAATTCCATCTTTTTTTTCAGTTGAATGAAGCATTTCCAACTGTTTGAATTTTGGCTATGCCAAAGGAAAACGACAGGCAAAACGAGTTTTCTAAACAGAATTCCACTATAGTTTATACATAATTAAAATCGTATTTGTCACCCAAAAATCCAACCCATCGAAAAGGGGTGGAGGTTTTTTTTCTTTTTTTTGCCAAACTCCATCTGGAATACCTGTTCTATTGTCTGCCAACTCTTGTATATCGATTTTCTCTTGCCAATTTTATTTTTTAATTTTGAGCGAACCCAAAATCATTGAGCCCTCAAATCTGCGAAATTTGATAATTCGGGAATGGACGCAATCGCAATAACCCAATTCCACTTCCGTTTCCCAAAACAAATTTGAACTTTACTTGAACAAGAGATAAGCGCGCGCGAAATGAAAATCAGATCGGCCGACTAGCTGTTTAAAACGAGATTTTACGACTTGTTTGCTGTCATAACAACAGGCTACCGGAGAAGATCTGCCGATCTTGGCCAGCTGAGAGGAGAAAAAACAGAGCCGGAGTAACCGGCGAAATATTTTGCTGAGCGCGAGCGACGAGGTATAAAATATCACGGCTCCATCAGAATGGATTTAGATTGAAGCGAACATTCAAAGCGCGCAGAACTCAGATCAGCGAAAACGCAAACGCAAACGCAAAAACGAAGACTGAGACTAAATTTGAGGATCAGTTAAACGGGAGAAAAAGAGTCAGTGACAAGTGTAATCTACAATTAATCAGAACAACCACAAATAAAAATGAGTACCAATAGAATGGCCCACCTGCTGGGATGGGGACTAGTGATCTTGCTGCTCGTGTGGGAACCCACTCCCGCGGACAGCTATGCCCTGGGGCACTCGAAGTTCGGCCGGATCGAGAAGTTCCCCTACCAAGTGATGCTCATCGGCAAGCAGCTGTGGCGCAAGCGGATCCTGTGCGGCGGCACCCTGCTGGATCGACGCTGGATCCTTACGGCCGGCCACTGCACCATGGGAGTGACCCACTTCGACGTGTATTTGGGCACCAAGAGCGTGGAGGAGACGCAGCAGTCGGGCGGACTGGTGCTGCGGTCCAACAAGTTCATCGTCCACGAGCGATTCAGACCGGAGACGGCGGCCAATGACATTGCTCTGGTGAAGCTGCCGCAGGACATTGGCTTCACGTCGCGCATTCAGCCCGCCTCGCTGCCCAGCCGATTCCGGCAGGATCAGTTCGCCGGCATGAGCGTGGTGGCCAGCGGATGGGGCGCCATGGTGGAGATGACCAACTCGGACTCGATGCAGTACACCGAGCTGAAGGTGATCTCGAATGCGGAGTGTGCTCAGGAGTACGACGTGGTCAGCGCCGGGGTGCTCTGTGCCAAGGGCCTGCAGGACGAGACCGTCTGCACCGGCGACTCTGGGGGTCCTTTGGTGCTCAAGGACACCCAGATGGTGGTGGGCATCACCAGCTTCGGACCCGCCGACGGCTGTGAGACCAACATTCCCGGCGGTTTCACCCGGGTCACCTACTACCTGGACTGGATCGAGAGCAAGATTGGGGGCCAGGGACAGCCAGCACACCGGCAGTATCTGCGACCCCAGCACCACCACTACAGTGATAACAATCTCATTTGAGATGGGTCTGCCTGCAGCTCGTCCGCCATCCGACTGAATCCTTATAGCTTTACCCAATCTTGTGATACCAACTCTCATTGAAATCTGTACATTGTTTATAGCCCTAACTTATTTAAACATCTATATTTATTTTAGTTGTAAGAGTGACAAAGGCCAGGTGAAAAAAAAAAATAAAAACCAGCCGAAACAAAAAGAAAGCAACAAATGATGCAAAATTATAAAGAAATTTTGTGTATGACAAAAATAAAAGAAACAAAAATAAAAGAAACAAAAACAATAATAGCAAGAAACCTGCTTCGACTTTGGCTTTTCTGTCTGTTTAGTCATGCTGATTTTTGTGGAATTGGAATTCCCGCATTCGGCGGGGATCTGATCTCGAGCGGCGATAATCGCTCGATAAAAACTTTTACGTCGCCAAGTGATAACTGTTTCGTTTTCTATCCCATATTGTTAGCTTATTTCGCCAGCAGGTGCGTTTTACATAATCTACGAACCGCTCAATTATTGGGCATCTTTCGAAAACCACTTATTTTACATAATATTTGTGTGTGTTGACTTTACACTTGACGCGATCTTTAAGAACTCGAACTCGAACTCGAGAATCCACTCCAGTTCGAAGGGGAGCTCCAATGATGACGCTCGTCCATGCCACTTGGTATTGGTATTTAGTTCCGTGATAGATGGACGATTCTATCACTACCAGTTTCTGACTTCGGAGAAGTTTTTCTTCCAGCCTTTTGTTGTGGTCGAATTGTGTCAGATCTATTTCAGCTTCTAGAGCTGAACTCCGTGACGCACTCTTGCGTTAGAATATAGATTCTTTCGATGGCAAATTTATCAAAGATTGATATCATCAAATGGCCCGAAATTCTGATTTAACTGGGCTCAGAAACAAATCCCCAATCCACATTCAAAAGAGCTCTCGAGGCAGTCGATCAATTAACTCCATGACTCGCTCTGATTTAAATGCGCTAGCAAAGCCATATAATTTATTATGACTTCGGCAGTTTATCGGGTGCAACTTGTTAATGTTTAGCCGAGATATATTCAAAGATTTTGGAAAGTTCCTCAATAAAATTCTTGACTTAGTGAATAAGTGAAAGGACCAGTCCATCAATTCAGAAGGCATTTATTGACATTCATTTAGTGCCAAAAAAAACCCGTGTAATTGAGATGTTTAGTGAGGTATTTCGATGCGAGGTTAAATGTGTTCTACTTCACTCCCACAACATTTAAATGCTGATAGCAAACTGGTTCAGTAGTGATCTAAATGAGCTTGTAGTTTTCGACAATAAATCACGTGGCTCTCACAGCCGCCATTCAAGGCAAATGTTTTCGTTTTCGTATGTTTTCCTTTCCAGCACACGCGCCCTTGGAACTTTCAATTAGTTTATGAATAATTGGCCAGAGACTTGCTAAATAAAATCCCTTAATCGTGTCTAGTTGAGATTAGCATTCTATAGAAAATCATGGGAAAATGCAAGCTATTAAACTGCAGTCATTATTCAATGATTTAACAACACTTTATAAGCTCTATAATATAATAGTTATAGTACATCCAAACCTTACAGAGTTTATTTTCCATTTCTGTGTGTAAATTTATTTAAAGCACTAGATATCCATTATTGCTTGCAATCGATTGAAGGATAATGCCATTAAGTGTGGTAACATAATATAGATTTAGACTAATTTATTTGGTGTTTCGCTTTCATTTGTGCTCAGCTTTTAGATTGTGAGATTCGCGCTAAAAAGTGCATTTAAAAATGTTGCTTGCGTCGCTGACTTTGGTACCGGTTTCCTAATAACAATGATGATTCTAATTTCACATTTTACTAGCACTGGGCGGCGGCTTTCTGCTGCTTCTTCTTCAGCACACAGTCAATGGCCTGGACGACTTCCAAAAAGATATCGTCCACGTCACGCTCGGCATTGATCTGCGGTTTACGTAGAAGCGTTTAATTAGCTTGGGATTTAGTATGGATATAAATTCTATATTAAACTTGCCGTCAGGGTTTTGGCGTCATAGAGCTCTAGAATGGCGTTGGTGTTCTGCCTGAAGGTCTGTAGGCGAGCCCTGATGGTGTTCTCGTTGTCATCCTCCCGCTTCACGGCTGAGGCTGCGGCCCGCGCCATGATGCGCTGCACCATCGTGTCCTCGGAGCACTCGAAGTACAGCGCCAGATCGGCGGGAGCCACACGGATCTCGAACTCCACGCCCTGGTTCTTCTCCCGCGGATAACCGTCGATGAGGAATCCCTTCGAGACGCCCTTCGACCGGGTGATGGCGTCGTTGAGCAGCGACAGCACCTCGTCGTTGGACACCAAGCCACCGGATGACATTACCTCTTGCAGCCGACGACCCTTTTCCGATCCAGAGGCCACCTGTAAAGTGGGTGGATATTAATATTAGTATAGTCTTCAAACTAGGGTCATCAAAAGTCCCATAAACTAGATACATATTATCTCTACCTGCAGATTCAAAATTTGCTTACTAAACACAAACAACAGATAGCAGAACTATTCCAGTATTTCTGGCTCAATTACCTCATTGCGAAGCAAATCGCCACTGCTCAGGTGTGTAAATCCGTACTTTTCCACAATTTTGGCGCACTGAGTGCCCTTTCCGCAGCCGGGTCCACCCAAGATCCAGATGATGGGAATTTCAGCCTGCAAACAGATAAATCTGGGTTAGTTAGTTAGGACACAACACCGAGGCACAGAAACATCTACAATTAGAGTGGTTAGTGTTTCACTTGTACGCAGCAAGCTTAGTTTGGTTAGGGGGTTTGGTTTGATGGGATTTTAAAGGATATTTGCATTTCGGTATTCTCGGGTCTAAAGACTTTTGTTTTTTGTTGTTGGTGAAGCGGCGGCCAGACAGAACATGCCATATACATCAAGTAATCCTAGAAAAGGGACACAGAGTGCCCATCGATTTGGCATCCGGATGGGCTACTTACAGCGGCTCGTGCCCTGCGGAGCTCCTCGGCTTTGAGCTTCTCCATGGCCTCCTTCTTCATGGCCATTTGGTGACACATAAATAACTACACAATCGAGACAGTTGGTGGGGTTGGTTAGATATCTCAAAGTTATAGTGCTATTCAACTATATGTCTGAGATGTGTTTGGCTTTGGGGTTAATATGTAGTTATTAGTATTTCGTTTTGGGCACCCTGCCAGCAACACATATGTATGTATGTATACACCTCAAATGTTTGCCGACACTAAAGTTCACACGCTACACAGTTTGGCAAAACAAAAAAACAAAGTATATATATAGGATATAAATATTACATTGGTCCATGACATTGATCTTGCACAGAAACCACTGCGTAGCACATCATCGCTATTGGGTGGGTAATTTAAGGCAATTGGCACCTCTTTTCCAGACGCACAAACTGCGCTGTTAATGGTTTGATTTCATCAAAAAATCCCAATTACTATAAACAATTGAATCGCCCGAGACTATATGTATACAGATCTGCTTTTGATATAGTACAGTATTCGAGGCCCCCGCCGATTTTCGCTTGTTCCGCATTGTCGCACCCATCGAAAATTTGGGTGCAAAAAAAAAGAACATAGAAAATGAATGCCCAGGTTGTTTGCTAGCACCTTTGGTTTTTCCTTAGAGCATAAATTCAATGCTTTTCATTTTCTCTGACGTTTTGTTTTTGGCACATTTTCTACGCATCCAAATGGTTGCGTGTGAGAATTTATGATTTTGAGGCTCATTTACGTAATATATATGTTCATATATAGAGTGGTTCAGTGACTTTTCAATGTCATTTCCAAGGATTGGCAGCTCTTAATAATTGAACTCACTAATCTAACAGTTGTTTAAGTTCCCGAGTAGTTAGTTTTAATTGTAGAATTATAGCACATGCGTTCTGCTCCAACGGAACCGCAAAACTATCCAGCTAAACGCAGAGGAATTTTTATGGAAGCCAGCTCAAGCTGGGGCTATTTCTTTTATAAGGTGTTTTTCATTGTTGTTGGTTTCTTTGTTTTGACAATTAAATAATGCGACGCGACTAAGGCTAAAACCGGCATGACTGTCTAGTTTGAGTAGCGCCAATAAACACATTTAAACTGCTTTTTGGCGGCGAGGCTGGGGACTTGCTAATGAATCAAGCCCCGCCAGAAATTCCTGTGTAGCTGGCGCGGCAACTGGTCATAAATTTATGCAAATCGGGATTTTTACGTCAAAATTCGCCGGGGCTTGGAATGTGAAATTTCGGATTTCGGATTCGTTTTTGTTTGCCTCCAAAGACTGGCTAATTTGTTTGCTTGTTTGTGCTCTTTTTGGTGGGGGATTTCACAGGTTCGTAAGAGGCTCTATTTATACCGGAGCAGAGTAAACAGTGAACAGCTGACTTGGGGATTTCTCAGCTCGAAAAAGCTGAGCTGCTAAGCTTGTGCCCCCCCGCCAAAGTTTCTTGATTGCATCGCTGGGCAAGGTCAAGTACATCATGTGCAATTTGGCTCAAGGTCGAGTTGCCTGTTCTAAATCTTTAATTTTAAAAAAAAAAAAAAATACTTTCCCTTAGAGTGCCAAAGGGATTTAAATCAAAGTAAAACATTTTGTGTAGGTTACATACAAATAAAAATAAATTGGGCAATAAGCAGGAACGAAAAACAAATAAAAATAAAAAAAAAACTAAAAATCACAGCAGCACTCGCACACAAAACACTCACCATGATGATGTATAATATATGCACACGACGCTGCTGCGGGCCTTTGGTTGAAGAAATCGCGAGATTTTCGATTTTCGGTGGTTTGGGAGCCGATGCCTTACTAGCCTTAGCCTTAGCCTGCTTCCTCCTGCTGCCAGTTGTTGTGGTCGAGAGTCTCGCCCGGATTCGATTCGATTTCGATTGTGATTTCTCCGCCCGATGATTTTCCACCACCCTCGGTGCTGCGTGTGTTGAGAGTGACTAAATGGAATGAAAAGGCGATTCGGCTAACGGTTTCACTGCGCGTAGACACTCGCATTCGCATTCGCTCGAGCGAGCTTTGCTGCAAAGCTCTCCGTCCGTCCGTCCGTCCGTCCGGCTACCAGTGCTTTCGTTTTAGCCGTTCCACCTATACTATACTATAAACTGAACTTTTTCAGTTCAAATTTTGAGTGTTATATCTGAGATGGGAGCGATACGAACTCTTGACCACCAAATTCACATTTGTAGGTTGAAGCTTAGTATCGTCTAGACTCTTTATGGGAAAATCCATATTTAGAGAGCAGTCTTTCCTGAAACATCGAAACAGAACGTTTTCCAAACTGATTTTGGCATACATTTTGTCATTATATGTTTTCCACCATTTTAGGTTGATGCTAAGTACCGACTTTAAAGATTAAAAGTTCAGTCATTTCAACTCTGGTTTGATCTGATTAGGACTTTTAATCGGCAAATCCATGTTTCTGCTCTAAAAATATTCTTTTAATTTTTTTTTTTTGAGTTCTTTAAACATAGGAAATGAAATTCGATGTATGTATCTTTGTAACCATTTTAGGTTGATGCTTTAAATTCGATAAAGACTCTTAGCCGGCAATTCCATTTTTCTGCTCTATAAATATTCTTATTTCTTAAAACATTGAAACATACAATTTGGACTTTTCTTTTTTCATTATTTCCAACCACCATGCTTTCGGAAATCAATTCTTTTTCGCACTTCATTAAAATATCCTATACGATTATATAAACTGGTTGCATACTTTCCTTCAAAGTTTATTATACATAAGAACTGGAACTTTTTCAGTTACAATACAATTCCGGGGTGGAGTTATAAATTGGCTTTTTTTTTATCAAAGCTGATTCTTTATCGGATTTCAAGAGTGTTTTCATGGAACACCTTTTCCCATAGTTTAGGAAAACGTTTGTCTATCGAGCCAACACTATCTGGCGATTTCTGTTGACCCACGTATCCATACTCATTTGTATTTCCTTAAAAACACTTTCTGGTGCTTGGTTGGCATCAATTTTCAGAGTGATTTCTGCGTAATTATCCATCACGTCTTTCGATGTATCAATATACGAAGTTAAACAAGGCCGAGCTGCAGGGCCATATGAAGTGGAACTACTACGACTTTCCATTTGCTCTTCCAATTCCAACGCAATGATCATACTGGGCGATCCAAACACATTCTCTAATACTTTTGCCTCCTCCATATCGACAGGGTATCTGAAATTATATATATATTTTTATTATTTCATATCTCAACACTACGTTTTCTTACCCATCAGTGACGAATCCCTTGAGACCATCACGATTGCTATTCATTTCAAGTATAATTTCTGACAAGGGTACTGAATTTCCGTCCGTTAGTGACTTTTCAAATTTTTTACCAGTAGCCGTTTGTCCTACAATCTGTGTAAAGCATAAATTTGTAAGTTTTAAAGACATGCCTTTAAAAATTACCAAGCTATCCACCTCTTCACCAACCAATGCGACGGGATCAATATGCATGAATCCATACTTTTGTGCTATTTTACTAGACTGAGTTCCTTTGCCGCTGCCTGGTCCACCAATCACCCAAATTATTGTAACATATTTACAGTGGATTAAGGTTGCTATAATGGTTAGGTATCGACCTACCATTGTTGGGCACAAATATACATAATTTTTAAAAGATTTCGAAAATTATAACAAATGTTGCTTTTTCTTTCAGTAGTTCTGTTGTCGGCACTCTTTCAGTAGTTCTGTTGTCGGCACTCCAAATAAAGAATGTGTGGCGTGGTAAACAAAATACATTTTGGCAGCTTTAAAAATATTCACACGTACAATTTATTGAGGTGGCATATCCACATTGTATTGGTAATCATCAACTTATAAAGTACAGAAAGGCCTGTATTTGTTTGGATTCGCCAACGGATATGACAAGCAATTGAGCGGTGTGAAGAGATTGATGTTGAATCTTTGAGATATCATTGTGAGTGGGAAAAGCCTCTTGAGATGGAAGAATAATTACATTAAAATTGGGTGGTTTTGGTGAACTCTTCTTAAAACCCTCATTGTGTAGATGCAGATCGAAGGTTATTTTTAAGGCAGAAGGTACAGTAATTTCTTCTTTGCCAAAATCTTGGCTTTTAAGTTGTACAATATCGAATTTTTTAAAGACCTCTTCGAATTTGGCATACGAAATTTCATTTTTAAGGTGATCAACTAGACTTCGACCTGATGTGGAAAGCTTTTCCTTTTTACAGAGAGGTTCTTCTATCAGGTCATCATTTGCTTTACGCTTTTTTAAGTCGAATTGTAAATTAATGGATTCTTCTGTGCTATTAATCTCTTTTATATTTTGCGATATAATGAGTTCCTTGATATCTTCCATCTGTTTCTCAACGACAGGGTAAAATGGCGAAGTTTTAATGTAATCCGGTAAAAATTGATTTCCCACTTTTTCTTTTAACAAGGCCCAGATACAATCTGCCTTGGTAACTGATTCTGGAGTTTTTTCAGGTGGTTTATGTTTGACGACTATATAGCCAGCACGGGATAAGGCGGAATAAACCAGGTAATTTGTGTACTTTTCACTTTCCAGCTCGCCAAGGAGGAGCACATAAGCTTGCTCTATTGAAACTACTGAGCCATAATACTCCAATTGCAGACGTCCCTGAAATTGGTAATTCTTCTTAATTAAAGACATTTTATATGATGATTTAGTATCGCACCAGTTCCAGTAAGAACAAAGACTCATAGTATTCCAAGTAGAGCTTTCCCTTCTCACTGTATCCAAAGTTTTCGAATTTACCATCCTTGCGTAGGACTTCCGCCACTTGTTGATCTTCATTCCAAATACCCAGAGCTCTTCCTCCAAGTCTTTCTATACGAGGCACTGACAACTGAGCTCGCAAGTGATCTAATATTTAATAAACATATGTATAAAGCGATTTTTAATAAACATATATATGTAATTTTTACCCTGTGCCCGTTTAAGCTCCCCAAGTTCCAAAGCAGTGCCTTCATTTTGAGTGCGTTTTAGACCTCCACTTGGCGCTGCAAAATCCGTGTGACGATGAGCAATAAGCTCCTCAGCACTGAAATTATTTGATTTTTAGCTTTGTCAAAAAGATTTTATTCAGGAATTACCTTAAATTGGAGTGTTTTGGAAGAATTTCAACAAATTCCGAATCCAATGTTTTCGTTTCCATGTCAGTGTGACCCAATCTAGACGATACAACCATACCGTTCAGTTGAGTCATGCAAAAACTTAAACAGTTATCGATGCATCGATAAGCTTTTGGCGGTATGTCATCGGATTCGAATTTTTATGATTAAATAAAACTTTGGTCACACAAATTTATATTTTAATATACCTAAGTTAAGTTTGATTAAAATTAACCCACAATTAAACATTATTATATTTAGTTGCCCCTTATAACTAAAATAAAAGACATTTCAGTTTTCTCTATTTATAAATCTTTATTCTTTGTATAATTGTAGTTTTGTTAGTTTCGCATAACATACGCTTAACATTTTTGCTCTCTCATGCAATGGAGCTTGTCGAAATCTCGAACTCGTTTTAATTGATGTCATATAACATTTTACACCTTGAAAATACACTTAATGGTAGATTTATGAACATTTAATACACCACATTGTTGCTTTTAACTCTTACGCTGTTAACATATCTCCCAGCATATCTCATATCTTATATCTCGTTCCCTCGACAATTTCAACTTTCACGGTACATATATCATATATTTTGCAGGATATTTCTAGTTGGCTTTCTTCTTTGTTTCTTCGGTTTCATACTACACCGCAAATGGTTTTAAACTCTGAACTGCGAAACGACACCTGCTGTGTTTCTGCTGTTGTAAAAACTTAAATACAAAAATTATACACTATAACTAACCGTACATTGTATATGTGTATCATTATATATATGTACTTATAATTGATTTATATGTATGCGTCGTGTATTGTATAAACAGTTTCTCCATAGTATTGGTTTCATCTTCTTTATTTTGTCCTCGTTAATGCCTTCGAATTGTTAACATTGTTCACCACATTTGTGTTTGTATTATACATATGCATACATATATACGTAAATGCTTTAGTTATTATCATCTACATATATGCATATATCTGTTCTGAATGCGTAACGCGTTAAGGTAATATTTTATCTGCCTGCTGATAGGTCGTTTCTCTATTTCTCCCCCGTAACCGCCGCATCACACATAGAGTTAATCGAAACTAAAAAGCTCTAATTGTAGGTAAAAGCACGGACAAATTAATAATACTCTTCCCCACGCCGTTTGACATGAATATCGATATCTACACTTATATACAGGACAGAAAGGACCGCTCAGACTATGGCCACGTTCGAGGAGGAGGTGGCACTCGGTTTGACGGACTTCACCAGGCATGACTGCGAACTGTTCCCCATGCTGGAGCCATCCAGGCTGTCCAAATCCAGCGCCGTGTCTATCATCGTGGTGTCGTGCAGCATTCTCAGTCTTTCCGCCGACTTCACCTGCTCGGCTCCATCGCCCGCCGACTTTCGCTGGACATGACACGAGGCACTAACCGGATCGTCCAGGTCCAGATCATCGCAGAGCAGGGTGGAGGACAGAACATTGTTGGCCTCCCTTTGCTGTTGCTGCTTTCGCTCATCGATGATGTTGGAGTAGACATGCAGGGCCGAATCTTCCGACACACTTGGCGCCACATTGCTGTACATGTTCTCCGTTTTGCCGGTGATGGCAGCCGCCAGTAGAGCTGCTCCCGCCGAGGGTTTGCCCGAACTCGACTGCGGAACATGGATGTCCGCCAGCGAGGAGTTGACCAGGGCCGTCTCAAAGTCCGCATCGAATAGATTGCTGTAGCTACCGCTGCGATTGCGCATTTCGCGCGCCTTGTTCGAAGCTATAGCGGCCACGGCGGCCACCACTTCCGGACTGCCCACCACCACCACATCCGGATCGTCCAGTTCATCCTCGCTGCTGGCGGTGGCCAACTGATTCTCGTAGCTGATCGTACCACCATTGGAAATCTGGCGCTGTTTGTGATGACGATGGCGGTACTGACGCGACTGCGTGGCCGTCTGATGGGTATACGCCGGAATGTCCATTTGGGCCAGCGGAATCTCGTTGTCCACCAACTGAGCTAGACTATTGGAATTACCTGCAAATGAAACGGAAAAGAGGGAAGAAAAAAAAGAGGGGAGAGGGCGTAACAAAAGACCCTGATTAGTATATGGTATTTAATTCGCCTCTTTTGTATGCTTAATTAATGCATGTAAAATATTTAATTACTCATTACAACAAATTTGCCAACTAATTTAAAATTCGAATTTCAATTTGGAGCATTTTTATCTAGAGTGTGGTTTTATTGCTCTTTTGCTAGTGGTCGATGATGGTTTGTTTTGATTCGGTTTGGTTTTAGCTGTGGGAAAATAAAACAATTTGAATATGCAAATAATCATAAACGCTGAAAAGGCGGCAAATTAAAATCGCAATTTAATTAAATGGGGTTTGTCACTTAAAACGTACAAATACACGTGTAATTGAATTCCTCCCTCCGGAGGAACTGGCTCAGAACTGGTAGAAATCAAACATAATTCGAAACTCATCAGGTGATAAGCTCTTCAACCAATAAACAATGATAACTGAATATTAAACTGATAAATGGACGAGATTATGCGCAAATAAAGAGCGAAACTAAGCGCTAATTAATGCATAATGGGTTTAGTGGGTAAGTCGGTGCCAATTGAACATTTTAAAGCATGCTTTCAAAATGTTGTGAGTACAATTAGTAGGTGTATACAACTGGAGCTTGCCAATAAATTATCGCTAAATACCATATCAAACTTTGATTTTTGGGCTGTGTTGATTGGGATGTTTTTTTTGTGTGTTTTTTTGTGGGATGATGGTTATGCCATTAGTTCTATTTGATGGATACGAATCGGCATGAGCAACTTAATAGAACACCAAACGAATATTATAGTTCAGCTATTTCGCGCTGGCAGGTGGTTAAGCAACAGGAAAATCAACTCAAACATATGGGTACATGTATGCGATGGTGTAGCTAATTTCAAACGAAACTCTAAAGCTTTGGTTAAATTTTCAGTTTTCGGTTATTTTGGTACATACAACAATTAAATGTTTTTGCAATAGGAGAGAACTCACCCAATTAAGGCTTAAAATGCATTTTTACTCTAGTCTTAAGCGGCCCTCGACAACTTTCGCTCAATTGCAGTTTTTGTTTTGGTTTTTACGGTTTGGTAAGTTTCACAAAATAGTTACAGACACAAATTTGTAAGTATTGTTTGTTAGTTCCCAGAGTCAAGTTGAAAGATACAGAAAGAGTTTGACATTAGTGTGCGATAAATCAAGAAGAAGGTTATAGCTTTTGGTGGTGGTGTGCGCGCTTAGCCAGTCAAAACCAAAATCAGGTAACCTAAATATATAATATAATGGAAAATGTAGAGGAGACGAGACGCGAACGGAAACTAAAAATCGAAAGCTTCAAGCCCAAGCCTCCGGTTCGTGTCTATATGTGTGTGGGTGATTCGGGGGATATATAGTTTATATAATTCCAATAATCGATCGGGATCGTGAGTAGGTCTCACGCTCTTCCTGAAAGTTTGCGATACGCTTCAACATCGGGATTAGTACTTATATGTAGTTATAGATCTGCATTACGATCCGCCAACATTTCATTTGGATCGATTTTAAATATACGCTAGATACACTTTATTGCCCAACATTTAACCATACATATTGTGTATATATAAGTATATAAATTTACTTTTTCATCAGTTAACACTCGCTTTCACGCTGTGACTCAGCATGAAAAATATATATATATAATATATATAACTACCTACAATTTCAATTACCTCGCTAATGCGCATTAAACTTGCAATTAATTATAAAAGGAACCCATAATATTGTTAATGCTCAAGATTTAAAGCCTTGGAGGCGGCATGTGAGCCACAATTATTTGTTCAAGCTGGCTTATACACCTAATGCGCTTTTCGATTTTCACCTCCCCAAAAGTCCAGCAAAATCTCCTGCCCGAGAAATGTTTTGTAACTATTACAACTAGGTATAAATATTATCAATTTCAATTTTCATTAAATTTTTTTTCAATTTCAACGCATTGTTTCGGTATTCTGTTTAATGCTAATTATTTGCAGCAGTCACTTGGCAATGTTCCAATATTCAAGATTAAGACATATTCGATATTTGATATTCAATCCGTTTTGCAACATTTTTTTTTGTATTCGACTAGTAGTTTTAAAATGACTCCCTTAACACTGATACATAGTTTATCAAATTCTTGTTGAATTCCATTTTTTTAGTTTACGTTTACGTTTACATTTAATTTTAATTTTCATTGTAAAAATGAAAAAAGTCCTAACAAAATGTTGCTTCGATAAATGGCAGTTATTTTGGCTCATTAAGTGTTTTGCTAATTTCCCATTTTCTAATTGCAAGTTAAAGTTTTCTTTCGTTTCTACGTTTTTTCGGTTGAAACCTTCCAAATTATTGAAAAATGTAACTTAAGGCCCAAGTGACTGCGATCATTTACAGGACATTCAGCCGCGTGGGAATCTCACGAGGTTCCCAACAGAAATCAAAAACTTAAGCATTTTACTAGGCGAACAAAGTCAAACATGCTTGGTTTGGGATGTTGGTTTACTGGTTTTATGGTTTTTTGGTATTTTGGTTAGTAGGTTTGCTTGGTTGGTTAGTTGGTTAGTTTGTGTCTTCACTATTGGAGGTGGCGGCGCTGGGACGTAGACCAAGGTGGATACATATACATGGGTGGCATTGCGGCCCCTGGCGCCGAAGCCCCTCTATTGCAATCGCATTTGCATCAGAGGAGATCCGACTCACCATAGCCTGGGAAGCAGGTGCTAAATAAACGCAAAAGTTTCTATGAACCAAGTTTTTTCGAGTGGGGGGTGAAAACACGGGGGAGTCTACTACAGCGGTTGGCAGGGCAAGGGATTCATACATTAAACACAAAATCATACAAGTTCGACTTCTACAAAGGGTGCACAAAAACACAAATTCGGAATTCAGGCTGCAAAAGGGTAGCAGTTATACAGTTGCAGCGCGTGGAAGCCAAGTGAGTCTCACAAAATGTGCCACAATCAGACTGTGATAGATTCCCTCAAAGTTGAAATCAAGGCTGCAAACTTTTAAATTTATTCGCTGCGTTGGCTCGAACATTCAGTTGGGGAAAATATTTACTTTGCAAATCAAAAGTAGTTCAAACTTGCTCTGCTAAATTGTTCACACAAAAATGTAAGCTGTTTTTAACCAACAAAAGTAAATTCATTTTATAATTCAAAATATTATTGTGTTCAAATTTGTGGGCTATAGAAGGGGTCTAATATTTATGTTGCTACTTATAATTTTGTACCTTGAAATGAATTGCAGTCCAAATATACAAATACCCGAACCTTTTAAAGCGGTTCGGTTAAAAACAGTTTGCAGCCTTGTTTTAAATTCAATAAAAACTACTCAAAAAAGGCTACAAAACCTACTTAAGCCCTTATTATATAATAGATCCTAAATGAAGTTTTAATTAAATTATATTCGGATAGCTGCCTACGAGAAGCCTCTACTATATAATTGGGCTAATTCCGGAATCTGGACCCGATTTGGCCACCTTAGCAAAAGCGTGGAAGCATTAGGAATCGGGGTGACCGAAGGAGCCCGGCCTTATGTACAGCGCTTAACAACCGAACGAGGAGGAGTAGTCGATGGACGACTAGGAGGCGAATCACCATCCTACCGAGCCGGACAACGGATCGGAACAGATGGAACAGATGGGCCTCGGAGCAGGAGCAGGAGCAGCGGACTGCTGCTGCGTACTATGACGAGTCACTGCCCGCCGCATCCTCGATGATCGAGTTGAGATCGATGTTGAACGAGTACTCGTAGAGATTGGAGTAGCGGTCGCGCTCTTTCCACGGCGACCGGTGATTCATATAAAGATTTCGTTTACTAACACGAAAGATCTGGCTGTCCTTGATCGACTGATCGTCGTCGCAGGGTTCACCGCCACCGCCAAAGTCACATTCGCGGATGGTCAGTCGATTGGTCGGCGACTTCAGTTCGAACATCACCTCCTGGTGTTTGTAGGGTTTCCTCATGGGCAGCGGCTGATAGCCGGCAATATTTACTTTCTGCGAGTCCACCGACATCGTGGATTGGCGACGCATGCCACGCGCCGCCTTGGGAAACGGATAGTTCCGCATCAGATTGGAGTCGGTGCTGCGCTGGGGCGAGTAGTACTTGTAGTCCGTGGGCGCCGGCGGCTGTGGCGCCGTGGTGTGTATGGTGGTCAGCGTACTATTGCTTGCCGAGATCCCTGCGCTGGCCTGCAGCTGCAGCGTCGACGGTCGTCGCGGCGCCAGCGGCGGTGGAGCCGTGGCCAGGGACACGGACACCGAAGTGGGTGCCGTGGCGGTGGAGGAAGAGGAACCACCAGTACCTGTTCCGGTGCCCATTCCGGTACCCAATCCGGTTCCCGTACCGCTGGCGCCGGAGGCCACCGCCGCCGCCGCTGCTGCCACGCTGCCAATGGCGGTGGTCTGCTGGGCATGGACGTGGTGGTGCAGCAGCGGCAGCGGCGAGTGGCGGACGTCGTCGTACGACGGTGTCAGCGGCAGGTGCAGCGACCGCCTAAGGTTCAGCCGGTACGAGGAGGAGGTGGCCGGCGAGCGGAGAAGCGAGGGGGAGTTGGGTATGCCCTCCGGTTGCTGCAACTCGGCGGAGGCCACCAGGTGCTGCTTGAGCTGCTTGTGCTTGTGCTTGCTGGCCTTGAACTGCTGCTGGGCACTGGCGGGCAGCAGGGTTTGCAGGGAGCAGCGCTGCTGGTGCTGCTTGCGGGACTTACCGTTCTGGACCAGATCGTAGCTGGGCGGCGGATGATCGAAGCCGGTGCCGTTGGCGTTGCCATGGCCATGGCCATTCCCGTGGCCATTGATGGCACCTCCGTTGCCCTCCAGTGTCGAGGAGGAGGGATTGGACTGGTTGTTGTTGTTGTTGTTAATCGTGGTGTGATTGTGTCGATTGTGGTGTATGATACGAGTAGTAGTAGTAGTAGTTACCAAAAAAGAACATTGCATAGAACACAAAAAGAAAAAAGTTGAAGTTGAATTACAGATCGTCAAAATGATGTGCACAAAAGTTAATCGTACGAGAGTTTTGAGTTGATATAAATATATAAAGGATCAAGCAAGCAGAGTGCCCAGACATTTAGATATTTTTAGAGATTTTGGTGGTGAAAGGGTGCGCTTGGGTGTGGCTCAATGGCCCAGTGGGTTGGGCCCTCTTACCTCGTCGTAGAAGCGGGGCTTCAGCTCCGCCCCGCCAATGCTGATGCCACCGCCGGCACCACCGATCCCACTCCCCCCGCCGCCCATGCCCATCATGGGCTGCGAGGTGGTGACCATGTGCGAGGCACTCAGCACATCGCTGAGTGCGTGCCGCGGACTCGATTGGTGCTGCATCTGCTGGATGAACTCGTCGGTGGCGACGCCGCGTCTGTCAATCAATCCATTAAATACACGATGAGTAACTCTGCCGGGATTGACTTACCTATCGATCAGCGAGGGCGTCATGGGTCCGCACAGGATGTGGCAACAGTTCAGGCAAATGTTGCCCCGCGAATAGGGATTTTGGGTGCGCGGACCGCCTTTCGAGGAGAAGGATCCCTTGAGCTGCGAAGGAGGGAATATAATTTATTCAAGAAATAACTATTTAATATAATATTAACAAATTCCATTAAACGTCTTTCAGTTTCCTATAAGATAGTGACATGGGGTTGGTTTGTTATTTTACCTCGATTGTCTAGTTGTATATACATTTAAAGCACAATTTATTTTTATACAAAATTTATTAAGACTTTGGTCTCTTTTTACTATAAACGATAGTGCCTCTGATGTTAAATAATAAATATTAATACTTTTTCAAAAGAAATTTCATTTAGATATCAAAAAGAACATAATTTAAATTTGAAAGTTTTTTATGGAGAATTAAATTGTGGAATTTTAATCCTTATTTTTATACACACGTATTTTAGACTTTCAAATATTAAAATAATCAGTTTAAAATCCGTTTTAATTCTCCCCTAATGCTACAATTTCAGGTCTTACAAACAGGGATTCATTGTTCCAATTAGTTTCATTAAATTATTGAAAACATTAAATTTTAAATTATTAAGCTATACTCACATCCTCGTTGGTTGTCTGATCGCTTGTTGTCAGATAGGTATGGAAGCCGGCTAGGCCGATCACCGACCATATCGAGAAGAAGCAAATGAACACAACAATCACAGTGAAGGGCGCCTTCTTGATTACTTTGAAGACCTCCAGCTCGGTTTTCATCACTGCCGGCGGTATATAAACACACATATAATTCATCTAGTTTATGGTATGGCATTCCATGGTACTCACATAAAACTAAATGCGTCACAGAGCACGAAAATATAAATACAGCTAAAAATGCCAATGAGACTAGAAACAAATAAAAGAACCGATAATTCCGCTTGCCCACGCAGTTTCCCACCTGTAAAGAGAACGTTAACAGGGTTATAAAGACACAACCAAGCCAAAATTAAGTCGGTTACAAATCATTGTTTAAACCACTAACAAAAAAGGTTAATTGCATTTTCACGAGATGTGTGGCATTACCAAAATAACGACCGAGAAATGCCTTAATTTCAGCCCCCAACCCTTTGCAACCGCCACTTGCGAACTGCGAACCAAATCCCCAAAAGGCTCAAGCCGACCTTCAAGCCGTCAGATGCGATTGTGTCGGTACTTTCACTCCTCCGGGGGTTTAAATTACGCCCGAGCCCAAGTAAATGAAAAGGGGCGATGGCAAAGGCATGACAGCAACACTAACTGGAGGAGATTTGATTTCCAACAGACAGAGGAGCGTATACCCTTAATAAACGCGGTTTCCTCTTAGGACATTATCCGCAAAAAACACTAAATATTTAAACTATATATCTATTTATAAAACAAACAAAAAAAAATGTTTAAATATTCTAGGCTATTAACCGCACAAAATATAAAATATTTTAGAGCCCTTATAGCTAGTAATCTATTTTAAAATTTATGGAAAACAAAACAGGCCAACAGCTAAAATAAGTCATATGTTATAGATATTTAGAAATATTTATACCCTTGTTTTTTTTTTAATGTAACAATAGATCTGTAAATATTTTCATTTTTTATATAAATAGGTCATAGAAAAGGCACTAGTTTCCTGGGTAGAAAGAAATTGAAAGCTCATCAAAGTGTAAATATTTAATGGCTCAAATGACCTCCCTCAAGTTAAATGGTTTGCAGGTCAATATAAATTGATTGTGAATTGTGCAAGCTAAAATCAAGGTGAAACCAATATTCAAACTAAAAGACAATGGAAATCAATATTGTCGTGAGATATGAAATAAAAAAAGACAAAGCAATCAATTAGAAGGTAAACAAATGAATTGTTAGAGAGGGGTAGAATTCCATTGATAGATAAAACAATCAATCAATTAGATTATATTAATAATTTAAGAGCTGTGGTTTATTTGAAAGGACCTTTGATACGGTTCTATACGGTTAATTGAAAGTACTTAATTTTAATATGTAAGGGTAAGTGCGATGATCTGAGTCGCTAGGGAATATTGGACCTAAAACAAACATCCACTTCCGCACCGAAAAAACACAACCATTACGAATGTGAGTGTGGCTACTCAAGTTAGTGTGTGTGTGGATGGGTTTGTGCCAGTGAGGTTTGTTTGCTTGGTCCTGTGTCCAAACACACTCAGAGCCACATCTTGTTGCATCAGCGAGTCGCTGGCGGGGATAAAAAAAAAGAAAATAAATAGAAAAAAAAAACCGGCAAAGGATTTTGGAGGGAGTGTGCTGTTTTATATGTACGCTCCAGCTTGAAACGTGACGTGCGCTCTACTGAAATTATTTTTACTAAAAAATTAGCAACCACAGCGGTTGCCACTGGAATTGGGTTAAAGTCAGAGACGACGAGAGGCTGTTGGTTTTGTGGCCCACTTTTCGCCAGCGCCTCTAATACGGCGCTTGGCTCAATGTCAGTTGCTTCTTCTGGTTCTTTTGGGACAGGGGGGAGTGATTAAAATTGCGCCAACGCTAACGAGGTGCTGCCGGGTGTCCTTGTCAAGGACCCACTTTCGGTGACTAACTACTACTACTACTACTTCTACCAGCAATAACACTACGACTCACCCAGGGACAGTGGTGATCGAAGCGGTCCACGCAGTTGTCGCAAAGGCTGCAATGTGATGCCCTCGGCGGCCGGAAGATCTTGCAGGTGAAGCAGTATTTCAGCTTGACCGTCTGGCCCTTGACCAGAACCTCCTTGGTCCTGGGCGGCGGTCGATATGTGGGGCTGTTCAGCGAGTTTGGCACCTCTGTTTTGGTTATGCGAATTCAGGTTATCCACACAGGATTTATCCCAGAAAGGCGCAGAGGAAATGCAGCAGCAGCAGCAGCGACATCAGCATCACCATCATCGACAGGAGAACATTGTTGACATAGAGGGGTAAGAGCAAAAGTTTTCTCATTTTAAATATTTTCTACAAAGGCAACAACAACAGCAACTCATTAGTGCAAAGGCAACGCAGCTTTCGCCTTTGATGATGATTTTTATACGGGAAATATTTTATTTCTTTTCCCATTTTTTGCGAGCGCGTTTTATTTTTTTTATTCTATGTCATGCCACGCTCATTACTTTTTACGTTATGTGCTCCACCCCCCCCTCACTCACATACAAACTTAATGAAGTGAAAACAAATATATATACGCAAGTGTCTCTGTATGTCTTTGAGTGGGGCGAGTGTTTGGCAGGGGGCGGGCTGGAGCCGAAGAAAAAGGATATTCAGGCAACAGGCAGCCAGGCAGCCAACGACCTTGGCCACGTTTCCTTTTGGATGGACGCAAGGACTTCGACTGTGCCTGCGATTGCGATTGGGACTACGGCTGCGATTGCTATTGCGACTACGGGGCGGATGAGTAACGTACCAATTTGCTTTTCGATATAGGCGGCCTCATCGTTGGAGGCTCGCGGTATGACGCCCGGATCCGTGAAGGTTGTGCGCAGCAAGGAGCTCATCGTGAAGAAGTAGAGGACCGCTCCCACAATCGGAATGGCCGGATTGATGCTGTCCGCCAGAAAGGGGCAGCTAAAAAAAGGAAATGAAGAAATATATCATTAATCTAATGATGTTCTCTGTCATATTGATTATGGAAACAGCTTGATTTTGTTTTGATTGTTTCAGTAAATGGAGTAATAAACTTGGGCCTTGTCAATAAATTAAGATAAATTGAAGGTTTTTTAATGATTATGGTAATAACATATGCCTAGTTGATAAAGCATGACAAATTAACAAAAAAAAAAAAAAAAGAATAATAAAACACCGAATTAATGCAGAATGGAGTGCAGAATGAATGTACACTTTTTCAAACTTAAAGCAGATTTACTTAAATCTGTAAAAGAGAGAAAAACATGTACTTAACTCTTGCAATGTTGATTAATCCGCTTTGATTGGACGAACGTGAGAGTCATTCAGAGACTACTGAACGTAGAATCCAATGTAAGCTACGATTATGTCCTTTTTGGAAAGCACCCATTGAAATTTGATTCCTTAAATCTGTCACTTGACATGCATCCTGCATGCACTGCATCAAAACGTCCAAATGCAGGCAGCGGTTGCCACTGGTTTCACTACTGCAGCCCTTCGTGGGCGACGAGGGTGTCCTGCCTTGCTCAAAAATGCATGCAAATGTCCCCGGTGATTTGGCAATGCCCCAAATGTGGGAACCCGAACAAATATGCCCCCGAAATGGGGGACTGGGGCGCCATGAACGCGGACCGGAATGCCATCGGGGATAGATGAGCTGGGGGATAGGACAATGCTCCGCCCGGCATTGTTACTTAATGCCCGATGCGTGCCAGCGATTTGTGAATAGCAAAAGTCGCCGCATCCACCAGCAGCAACTTTCACTCGCTATCAACTCACAAAGGACCCGAGTACTCAGTGACAATTATGTGTGACAAGTCCCAGATGTACCAGGGTGTATGCTTCATTTCGGGGACAGGACGCCAGTCAGCAGAACCAACCGAAAATAGTTAAATACATTTGTCATGACAACGCCGATTCCCCCTCTGGCCTGCCGTAGTAAAGCTTAAATACGAATGCATTCAAAAAATGCTTTTCTCGCATTCAGCTTGCAAATCGCTGACAATGCCATAGAAAATAGAAAATGGGAAATACGAAGAAGAGCCCCTTCTGCATTTTGTGCTACCTTTTAGCGATTTGCATTGCCGGAGAGCGTCGAACGAAACACAATTTGAGTTTGCCCACACATCCCCAGGCTGCCTACATACAGAAAAAAACATATATTTTTGGATAAATCTACCAATGATACTGGTGAAACTTTGGCACAGTTATACTCTAGTTTCGTCATCTAATTTTATTAAAAACGAATTTGCATGTTGTCACCTAACAAAATTTAAAGCTTTTCGAACCCTTCTCGCTTTCCGTTAATTGAATCATTTCAATTGTTCTTTCAGTTTTTTTCGTGTTAAATTCCCTTGTTTCTGATTCAGAAAAGAATAGCTTGTTAAATAGTTTAAAACATTTTAAAGTTGATTGCTTAAGAAAAATGTATTTTAAATCATATATTAGTTGTATACCTAGTTAGTCCTAATGCAACCTTAAGTAATACTGACCAAATGTTTTCGCAACTTGAATATCTTTCGAATGGCAACCATTATTCAAATTAAAATCAAATTTAAACATACTGCTCAAAATTTTGTTAACCAAGGGGTTCTATAGTTATAGTCTTAAACAAACTGTGAATAGGATAAGAGGTTTATTATATGGATAAATTACCAACTTCCTTAAATTATATTTATATGAACAAAATTTGTTTTCTAAGTAACAGAGGGTAGAACATTTATTTAGATTTATTTCTCTGTTATTAAAAATTCGGCTTTTTACCGCAACCTTTTTTTTATGTGTGCATAGGGAGGACGTGTGCGAATATCTGCAGGAATAACTATGCGAGCACTCAAAGGCATTGCGGATATTGTAATGCCCATCCATACTGGGGCGCCTTCCACTCGACTGTGCGCTAATGTAAAGCAAGCAATGAAAATAAAATCGCGCTGTAGCCGCTTTTCAGCAGCGAATAAATTTGGATCGCGCAAGAGGAGTCAGATGTAGGTACATGCTTTCTAGGCATGGGAATTTCAATTTCTTTGTGGGAACACCACCTCCGCACATGCAATTCCTTTCAGTGTTGCTCAAATGATTTCGTGCAGAAAATGTTGAGCATAATTTTGTCTAATCGCGCTGTCAGTGGTGAATAGGATGCAGCTTTAACGTTGTGTTTCATTTATATTTGCACTACGTGACGTATGCGTTATTTTGGGCAGTCTCCGGAAAACGAGGACGGAAACGCTCACGTGCAACTAAATTGAATCTAGTTAAACGTTTGTGGGTTTTCGGGTTTTCCATATGTGCACGCCTCTTGGATATTTATTTAGTCTCAATACCGGCAAAAAGCAATTTATTGGACGTTGGTATTATTATCGGAGCAACGTGATAGTAACGACTGCTCTGTTCGGCGAAATTCTTTATTTTCCTTTGTACTTTGTACTGTCCCAAATAAGAAAATCTTTTTTCTTATATTTCTTCTTATATTCAGCAGAGTTTCCAATTGAAAGAGCTGCACTTTTTGTTTGCTACTATAATCTTCTTTCAGAAATATATGCAAAGTCGTTTGACTACTTATCAGCGCAAAGAAGGAAGCCTTTGTTCACCATGTTCACTTTCTACTGAGTTTTTAAAACGTAGCATATACTTTGGGGCAATAATAACATTGGGATAATGAAAAAAAGGTTAGGAAAGAGAGCATGCAGGGGTTGGGATAGCCGTATCTAAAAAGTATATTAATAATTGAAAAACATTAATTTTCCACCATTAAACTCCATCACCAAAGCTTAATAGCGGAAAAGTTTAACAACAGGAAATGGAAATGTGTCCCGGATGAACGTGTTTGAAATGGAAATTCTGTTTAAAACTAAACCCAAGGGTGGGGACACTCTTCCGTGGTTCGCCTGTGGCCTGAAGTAGCCTGAACATATTTGAATGCCGCACAACCATCGGACGGATTGACAAATCAAAAGCTGAAACTATTTGTCCACCCCCTTCGCAATCCACACGGATACCCGTAATTCAACGGATTCAACAGGGACAGAGACATCAAGCTGAAAAAGTAGCAGCAGCAGCGGCAGTAGCAACTTGGATCCCGATGTCCTTTGCCAGGCCAAGCATAACGCATACGCCACGTTGCACAGCAATAATTACATGCCATTGGATACGGAGACGGACGGCAGACGATGATGGTCGGGAACAGAAGCCGGATGAGGGGCCCGTTGAAACGGATGAAACCGGAGCCAGAGACCAAAGTCAGAGACCATTAATGTGGGCGTAATTGGAAATCAAGCATGATCGGGGGGATGAAGAGTTGGGGGTCGGGCATCGGGGATCCGGTGCTCCGGAAGGGTTACTGGGCAATGCTTAATTAGCAACGTATACATTTTGCACACAATGCAACTAAAGGGAGGCCAGCTTCACCCAGACACTCAATCCGTCACACGGAAAGAAAAGTGTCTTTATTAACAGTTTATTAATTAATTTTCTTTAAGTTCCTAATTGTAAAAGTTATTTCCGTCTAACAAGCTAAGTAAACAAGTATGGATAAAATTTTTAACATTGGTTAATTAAAGACAACATTGAATTTGTGGGCATATAAATATCGGTGAATGTATTATAACTTAACCCAAGTAACTCTAAATTTTTCCGTGTGCACAGATAAATGGTTGAAATGAGCACGGGGCGTATACTCACTCGAAGGCAAAGAAGAGCGCACTGGTGCCGGTAATCAGGATGCACGTCAAGTAGAAGACGCCTGTGTGCGGTGCGGACATTAGCAATCCATCGCAGTAGAATTTATTGCGTCCGGCAAACAGTTCCCATTTGCGTGTGACGCGCTGGTTTGGTGCCATGTTACTGCAACAACAGCAGCACAGCAGATTCATCGGGGCGGTCCTGGGGAAATGGGTTTTAAGCTGGGCTGCGATTCCTGTTCCTGTGCCGGTGCCTGATTCTGATTTTGATACTTTTCCTTTGCTGACAACAGTGGCTGACTGTGACAGCGACGTCTTTGCGTTTGCGTTTGCCTTTCCTGCTGGTGATGGTGATGATGTGGGTTGGGTTTTGGTTTGGTTTGGTTGCGTTGCGTTGGATCCAGGGGAATATGGTGGGTTATGCTCTGCCGCCGACAGTTCACCCGGCTGCAGTTGACGAAATTATGCTGTTTTGCTGGGGTCCCGACTTCGCCTCCCTTCTGCGCACCTCCTGTCACAGCGACGTGTTCATGTGTGGCTGTTGCAATGCCTGCGGCACGCAAAACCGACGACTTTCACAAGATGCCTCCTGCTGCTGCAGCTCCAAAGAATTTTATGCACACTCCAGGCGGCTCGGCTGCTTGAAATATTCGCTTTAATTGTTCGCTCTGTTTTTTGGACTAATATTTCACTCAGTCGGTTGTTGTTTGAATGCGAAATGTTCAGGTGAATTTAATCAAAATTAATGTCTTGCTCTGCTAATTCGACTGCCCCTGCTGCCACTTCTACTATCCCGTGCTGTTCCAAAAGCAATTTCGTCCACTTTGTTGCGTTGTCCACGGTCCGCGGCATCAGCCACATTGCGTTTCAATTTCCTCCGTTTTATTGCAGCGCACACTTTCGGGCCTCACACCCACGCCCACACCCTCGCACACGCCGACGCCCACGTCCCGGCTTTAATTAAAGCAGGACGCCTGTCATTTCCCTGCAGCCGCCTTCTTTGCAATGTGCCACGCCCCTCCGCCGGACTGAGTGGTTGGGGGGGAGAAGAGAGTAGAATTTGGACCACGTTCCGTGCACACTACTATACAGCAATTATTTGCTCGGCTTTGTTGATCCTGAATTCTGGATCCTTTCGGTGGCCCGTCCGTGTCCTTTATGATTCAATTATTCGCTATTCGCTGCTGGCGCCACCAACAGTAGTTAAAATTGGCGTTGGCGTCGAATTGGTTTGGCTGGCTTTTGGGTCTGCGTTTGGGTTTGGGTGCAGGTTCGGGTTCCAGTTTAGTCGCGCCGAGCTGAGTTCGAGTGGGCCGTCCTGAAAAGGTAAAGAAGAAAGAGGGAAACTTGTGAAAGGAGTGAGCAACTGTGGAATTGCAAGCAAATATAATCATTAAGTTATTTTGATTAAGAACTTTTGTGCGGGCGCCGACAAGCAGAAAGGAGAGAAGTCCTCTTTCGGGGATTCCTTTATGCCGTCTTTATTATCGAATTTTAATCGCATTGCCCGAGAATTGTCAGTTGGCCAAGGGCGAAAGCGTCCGCAACGGGCCAATTCATAAGACAAATTTTATCACTTTTTTATGCGAACACAATCGACTTGTTATTGCTTGCTGATAAATTTTGATCCATAAAAAATCCAAGGCAATTTCAGAGAAGTAAATTTTCCTTTATTAACTTAGCTTTTTGCAAATGAAATTGAGTTTATTTTCACTTAACGGTTATAAAAACTAAAAATTATTTGATAAATTTATTCATCTAAGGTTTTTTAGTTGAATTATCTATTTAATCATAAATAATTTTTATATAGGGAATCCAGCATATTACTAGACCCAATTTTCAGCAACTTTAAAATAATTTCTGCTATTAAAAGCATTTTGCATGCTCCTAGTTTTTTTAGAAAGCTCATAAAATTTTAAATTCATGCCCACCATAAATGCAAATAGGTTTTAATATATGCCTTGGCATAAGCCGACTAATGGATTAAGAAGGCATAGATTATTTACAGCTGAAATGCGCTTATTCGCGGCTTTATGCGAGACGACTGTCGACTAATTGGCGCTAATCAAGTTAAGCATACGCACTGTACGCCGCCCCCTCGACAGGCAGTAGTCAGTCCTCTTCTACTGACTGCGTTGACTGCGTTGCAACATGGTTCCAGAACAGAGCCCGTTATCTAAGGCAAACAGGCGCGTTGGATGGCAATAAACCAGGACAAACACAAATACAAACTCGCAGTCGAAGGACCCGGATCCGGACCCCCAAAACGAGTGAGAGGCGTTTGCATTCGCAATTTGCGTTAATTGGGCACACGCCGCCCATTTAAAAGGACTACTCTCGCAGATGTTGCGGAGGTCGGCTTTCTCAGGCGGGGAAAATGTTTATGCAAATTGTGTTGCAATTATAGCGCCAACGACTGCTCTAATATACACTGGCTGCGATTATTCGCATGCATTTCGCTTGCCATGGAATGGGTGGGCTCCAATTAACATTAACAACAACAGCTGATGACATGCGCCAAGAAGTGCCAATTAAAGGCACACAAGCGTTTCGCCGTGCTGCGAGCTGTTCAATAAACTCATAAATTGCCTGAAATGACGCAAAGTGCCAGCAACAATGACAACACTAGCGGCAGGGTCTCTGGCAAAACAATAACCATAAAGTAGCGAAGGCAAAAACAACAGAAGAGCCAAGGCTTGAAGTGTGCCACTCAGCGCAAATATGTAAATAAATGGCCACTTACGGCAAATTCAATAGAGGGTGTGGGGTTGTGTAAGAGTGAAAGTGAACGAGTGCGGACTAGTCTTTGGCAATTATAGTATATATTTATCAATGTGCTGGAAACAAAACAAAGCAAAGCATGTGTTGGTATAAACAAAATGCAGTGCCTAACGTAGATTGTATCACTATTAATACATTACTGTTCGCACATTCCTTGTTTATGCTGTCGATTTCATGAATTCTAATGTATATGCTTTCAATTTCATGAATTCTACATTTGGAAAAGCATACAGAGAAAATTCTTCAGTCAAATTTTTTAACGCGCTGATTTAAAATGTTTATATAAGCAGAAAATCAGAATCATCCTATTTGAAATTATTAAAGTATTTCGTAATAATATTTACGATAAATTTCCCAAAAAAAACATTCCTAAGACAAACATTACCAAGTTAATGAATTAAATATGAACTATTACTATGCAATCAGCGAAATATTTAAAGTAAATAGTTTCGTAGGCTCACAAAGTTTAAAAAAAAATTCTTTTTCCAAATAGGAATTTAATAAACACGACCGTACCAACACTTATTTAACGGAGTTGAATGAGCGAGCGTGAGAGTGAACATGAAATACGTAACCGACACTTGGCATTGTAATTGTAGGCTGCGGTTGCGTATACGTATTTTGTAATACATCAAGCACTTGAACACCAGTGCTCTTGACGCTGCCCCTCTTCTTACCCCTCAAACGCGGCCACAACTGCCACTATTACGCCCACACCACCCACTTCAGTCCATTCACCCACACTCTCACTATCGCTACTCATACGCATGCATGGCGAGCACACTTAGCATTCAAAAGAGGCGGAGGGGGCGTGGCAAGTGCTCCGGCAGCCATGCGTGCATGGCGTTAATACACCGAAAACAAAACTGCTATCTTAATTAAATAATTGTTGGTCACTAAAAAAAAAATAATAATTTTTGGATTTTCCGAAGTATATGAATGAATACTTTTGATGTTCCGTTTTTATGTTTTCTTTTCCAAAATAAGTCTTTTTAATAGAAAAGATTTCGTGACAAATTAGAAACAAGTTATTAATTTTTATTTTATAATAAAAAAAAAGATTAAAAATATGTTAAATATTTTTTGTGTTTTGTGTTTTTTAATTTGTCAAGATAACATTTTAAAATTTTAAAAGGGCATTGATCTAAAATTGACCCCTGAAGAACTATTCTTGACCCTTAATCTTATTTTTTTTTCGGTGTGTGCTCAAGTTGAGCCCCTGGCTTGCCCGCCATGGAAGTCGGCTTAGTTCGGTTTAACTCGACTGGGATCATTCATTTACGCATACGCCTCGCTTGCATTCGCACTCGCCCACTCGTTCAGCAAACAAACACACAAACAAACCAGCAGTCACACTCTCAAAGTTTGAGTGCCGGACTGCATATGAATAGTGAGTGTGTGGAAAGATCTTGTATATGTTTGTCGATGGTTTGGTTACTTTGGCTTACTTCAAAAGATGTCGATGTGTCCAGATTATTGAGATGAAAGTCCTTGTGTACGAAATAATATCGTAAGAAATATGGTTTCCTAATGGAACTCAGAGTTTAACAAAATTTGTATGAAATGTTTTACCCTGCCTATTAGAATCAAAATTCAGATATTGAGGATAACAATAAACATTAATAACTCAGAATTCGTTTAATTTAAATTAAACTAAATCAATTGACACCATGCCTGTACTAATTTCGGTATTTTTAATACACTTAACTTCATTACTGTCTTAAATAAATATTTAACAGCCAATTTAAAAAACCAATAAGGTAGATGCTTGTTTACCACTTTATTGACCCGTAAACTTTCAATTAAACATAATGTCACAACCAATTAATTTCGATTTTAAAAGAGGGGACAGAAAACTAATAAGAATCGAAATACTCGACAAAAACATTCTACCTACCCTTTCAAAAGTCAATATAATTTAATGTTTTGAAACAGTCGCCCAACTAATAGACCGCATATATGGCTGTAGAGCAATGGGGTAAACTCAAACACATTCTCGGCGCTGCCGTTACAGCTACACGAACATTTCCTCAAACATCCGACATGGCGTCCATTTCCGTTATGACAACAAAGCGGGACACACATGTGTGTTGTGTGTGTGGCTCGGTGCTGTGTGTTTGCCTTAGCGTTTCCCCTTAGCCTCTGTCGGTGTAATTGTTGCCGTCACATTTACAGTCGCCGACGCCGCCGAGGCCGTCAAGTCGCCGTTTTTCTGACAGTCAAACCAAAAGTCGCCATCAACGATTGCTCTACGATTCTCCTCCATTTTATTGCAATCACTCAGAGAAAAAATTGATTTTTCAAACATATATCCTCAAAAAAATTTTATTTGAACACACTTTAATATAAGTTTACAAGCTTAATGAAATTATTATAATCAAACTTAGCTTGTAATTTTGTTTATACTATTTTAAAAATCGTCCAGAGTATCACTTAGATAGAAATCATAAAATGGTTCAGATATATATATATAATCTTTTATAAAAATCTTTTTCAAGACTACTTCGAAAAAAGTCGTCAAAGTAAATAAAACCAATTTAATCATACTTGTTTAATAAAATCAATTTGATAAAATCGATTTAATTATACTTTTTTCATCCTTTTAAAAAAATCAGTTCGGCTGAACATGTTTATAAAAGTTATGGCAAATTCTAAAAATGTAAATCCATTTTGTATAGTAAGCGATTGTTTTATAAATAGTTATTGTTTGTTAATCGCAAATATTTAAAAAAGTATTTCAGTATTTTGGTTGAGTGCACTCAGAGGAACGAACATTCGAACCAAACAAACTATCGTCAACCATTCTCGTCGAAATGTGAGTTTTATACGTTGCTTGTGTCGGTAACCGTTGTTAATCTTTGCTCATTGTTTTGGTTTAATTTATAAATTCCTGTCCATTTGGCAGATGCCAACTTTTGTTTTTCTATTTGCCATCCGCTGGTGCTTTTGTGTACTTTGTATGCTTTCATTTTGTTGTTTGGTTTCCCTCTCTGATTCTGATTCTGTTTCAGTTTCTATTTTCATTCTTTTTCTATTTCTATTTCTATTTTTGTTCCAGGTTGAGATCGGTTTTGGTTTGTTTTCGTTTGGTTAGTGTGTGCAGAAACTGTTCAACTGTTCAACTGTTCCCTGCTGATGAACTGACTCTGCATTTGTTTTTTATTTGTGGAAAGTCGACTTAGATGCGGCGACCACCGTCCACTGCAGCGGGTAGAATTAATTGTCGCTTGCTTTGCCATTTGCCATGTTTGCACAGATGCAGCATTCTATGGACGATAATAATTTGCACAGTTTGAACTAAACCACAACCTACCCCACCCAGTATGACAATTATTATGACAATCACTTGTAAGTGTTGGTAAAAGTTATTGAAGCAGTGGGAAATATTATAATTGCTTTCGTAAAAGATTGTTTTCCTGACACTTTTTAAATGCTCCAGATTTTCTTTTTTTTTTTTTGTAACTCAAATTTTAAACATTAGAGTGTCATGATTTATTTATGATTCTTTTCAAAGCTAGAAAGTTTATTTAGTCTACA